GSSRMCACCGAGATGGGAAGCGCTCCAGAAAGCCCGACAAAGGCTCCGGACGCGAAGCCGAACATGATGGCGAAGCCGATTGCGATGGACGGGTGCTTGGCAGGGATCCAGACGGCGAACTCGGAGATTCCGGAAACAGCACAGGCGATAATGAACATATTCCATCTTCCGATTCGATCGGCGCCATAACCGGCGACCAGACGGCCGAAGAGACTTGGATGACCGTCAGCTTCCCGCGACATTCTACCGGGGGTGGAGAGTCAACCTTGCGGCATTGAAGATGGACACMAAGTATTGAGCCATCTCCTCCGACATGTGCGCCTCCTGAAACCCCTGCACAGCCAGATAGTCGATGGGGATGAATATGCCAAAGGTCAGAACGAACATGCCCAGCAGCAGCAGGACAAACGGGAGCTCCGCGAAGGGTGCAGCGAAACGGCCGGCGGGCATCTTCTTGGGCACAGGCTTGGTTCTCGGGCGGACAGTGAGGATTGCAACTATCTGCAGACCGAGGATGAGAAAGGCCGCCGTCCTCATGGCCCAGGGATACCCGGTGCTCTGGATCATGCGACTGATCATGATGGGGAAGATGACGCCGCCGACTGATGAGCCTGTCACCATGATGCCCATCGCTGCTCCGCGCTTCTTGGAAAACCAGGTTGAGAGGCAGGCAAGCGCTTCCTTGGCAGTCAGCATGGAAGACTCATCAAGGAAAGGGGCTAAACTTGCCAGGCGTGTATAAACATGCAACACCGATGGCACTGCACACCCCCTGTGACAGGATGAACTGATAGTATGTCTTCGCCAACGACGCCATCATCAGCCCAAAGACATGAAGGAGCGTCCCGCCAATGATGAGCGGCCTCGGTCCGTAGTTGTCGAATATTATGCCGACGACAGGCCCCAAGGCGAACAGGAAGAACAGCTGGAGCGACGGAATCCAGGCAATCGTGCTACTGGAGTAGGATTTCAGAGGCCCCGCCTCGTAATACTGCTGGAAGCTGCCTACGCCTGTGAATGAGCATTGCTGTTAGTCCGTCGTTGCTAGGAAAACATTGAGAAGAGGGAAATACGTACTGTTGATCCAGCCCGGGCTGGAGAAGGAGCAACACCACGCTCCCAGGACAACCAACCAAGCAGCAACGCCACCATCCGGGGGGCTATCGTCTACCAATTTTGTGGTATGACTGGCATCGTCTGGCTTGTCACCGGGAATTGACTGTCTGGCGTCTTCAGGGTCAGTCATTAGGTCGTGCATAGAAGTGGTATTCTCCGTGGTTTTCGTGCTAGCCATGGTTAGACTCAACTACAAAACGATCAATCAACTAATCACGTACCAGAAGCACTAAATCATTACAACTCTGGAAACCGATTCTTATACATGTAGATCTTGAAGGCGGCGGATATAATGGCGGACTTGCGGAGGGTCAAGCAATGTATGATTGGTGCTTTGCAGCGGACAACATTAATAATGGTCCCCGTCGGAGGGAAGACATAATACTGAACAAGGATCTCCCTCTCTTTCTCTCTCTTATTCTCCTTTCCATCTTTCCGCACGATGGGTCCCCCTGACGGATCTACAGTCCTCCGCCCTCATCCAGGCCGCCGACGCGACAAGCGGCAGCTTTCTTGCAATTCATGCCGGCGGCGAAAGTGCGTTTCCCGACCTCCACAATAGATAGACCTGACAGTGAGTAGGCGAAAGTGTGACCGTCAAAAGCCTTGTTCTTATTGCATTGTAAGTCGCACGTCTATGGAATGATAAAGGATGGTGCAGCTTACAACATCATACGATGTCGATCAGAAACACCACCTCGAGCAGACATGTACTTACGCTGACTTGCGAGAGCCGTCCTCTCCGTGCGGACAACTACACCTTAAAGATAGCAGCGCATCTGTCAGCGGGCTAGGCGGGTTGGCAACGCCGAGCAGCTCGGCTTCTGTTCCATCACCAGAGCGTGCTGATTTGAAATTAACGAAGTCTGGAACTGGCTTTAAAGATTCGACTCACTGGACGTCCGTTCTGAGCGACGTGACAGCGGCAAAGGAAGGCGCCATCCCATCGGAGACAGCATTCGACGATGGTTCATCACCGCTCGAGCAGAATGTCCTCCTCTTCGAGGGGTGCAAACACGCCACGGACCAAGAACTCCTCGATGCGATGCCGCCGAGGAGAGAATCCGACGCCTTGGTTGCGCTCTACTTTCGTGCTCAGGAATACCGATGTAGGTATGCAAAGGACGTGAGATACACATGGCTGCTGACGCTCGATCTAAGTATCTGTGCTACACCCGACCGAGTTCTTGAAGAGAGTAAGTTTTCACACGTACCACTGGTAGAAATCTAATTACCAACTCGTCGGTCAAGTATAACGCATTCTGGGAAAATCCCAGTGCTACATCTGTCTCCTGGCTCGGCCTCTTGTACAGCATCTACTGCCTCACCAGCCAAGTCCAGAGCCTCTCGACGGCCCAGGACAACGCATCGTCCGTCTGGTCAGCTACAGCCTTGTATAAGATACTGGGCTACCGAGAAAAGGTCGTCCAGTGCCTCGTCCGAGCCCAGTTCGCCAAGGGCGGTCCTGACATTATGGAAACCCTGGTCCACTACCTCTTGATTGAGAGCTACCTGAACAGGGACTCTAATGTTGGAATTTGGCTCTTAATGGGCAACATTGTCCAAATAGGTACGTCTGCATGCTCGTCTGTGCCATCACTGAGGAAGCTGCTTAAGCTTGGACAGCGATCCGCATGGGCTACCATCGAGACCCGCAGCACTTCAAGTCCCTATCCCCCTACCAGGGCGAGATGAGGCGCCGGATGTGGGCCATGATCTACTCGCTCGACATCGGCTTCTCCACGCAGATGGGCCTTCCGAGCAGCATCAAGCACTCGCTCAGCGACACCATGCCGCCTCGAAACCTTCAGGACCGCGACTTTGATGGCAGCTCGACTGACCTGCCGCCCGAGAGGCCGATCGACGAACTGACCTCCAGTACCGTCATCCTCGCCAAGCTTCACGTCGCCACCAGCATCGGTGATGTATCAGACCTGGTCTGCAGTCCTCAGCCGATCTCATATGAGAACCTGGTCGCGGCGAATGCAAAACTAGACTTGACGTATGCGACCATTCCCGGTCCTTGCAAGTTCAGACGCATGTCCGAATCTCTGTTAGACCCTCCAAGCGTCATATTCCAGGTCAGTGCGTGGCTTACCTCGGGCCCACACCTAGATCAAATCATCTACACTACTGAACCCTCAGCTATATACACAGCCCTAGCAGTGGAGAGTAGACGGAATTGCTAACATGCCCTTCCTCAACAGCGGATAAACTTTTACATGCATTACCAAAGAGCCCGGATCCTCGTCAATTGGAAGTTTCTCAGTACCTCGAAGGATACGCAAGCCAGCAATCAGTGCTGGGGTATTGTGATAGAGGCGGCCTTGGAGATCCTGCGGCTGCAGCACCGCATGGCGGAGGAGTCTGACGTCCTGGACGCGTCCCGCCCTACTGGTATGGTCGACTCGTGCTTCATAAACAATGGGTACTTTTTAGCCGCAAGTATCTTGTGCTTTCTCGTACAGCATCGTCAAGACAGGCTGTCGGCCCAAGATCTGTCGGAAGTGCGAAGCCTGCTTGAAAAGAGCCTAGCCATCTGGAGCCGCACCAACCACTTGTCAAGCGAAGCAAGCAAAGTAGTCATGGCTCTGAGGGTAGTACTCGGACAACCTGAGGAGCCCAACACACATTCTACAACCGAAACAACGGCGTCGCCTCAAGCGGGCGCGGGTGAGATGGCGTTTTCTAGTTGCACCTCTTTCTTTGATGACCTGCCTTTGATGATGACCGACGTCGACCCTGCCGCGTTTCCCACACTGCCCTTGATTCCCATGATAGACAACTGGCTGCAGGTAGATAGGGGCATTTAGAGTTCAGCCCAACCCGAAAACTCGAGGTTCTCCGACGATGACGACCTCGTGAGCGGTGGCTACAAGCTGAGTAGCAATTGGAGGTGTAATTATTCGAGTGCAGATGCCATCAGCGCCAAGGTTTTGATAGAATAATCGCAAGTAGAATCTATTGGGAGATTATTAAGGGTGTGTCATGAAACAAAGGGTAAAGGGGCCGAGATTCAAGGGCGGCGACAATCCACCCCGGTCGGTAATACTACTCTTCAGGCACCTAGGTCTTACTGCACCCTGCGATCGTCCCTTGTAATGAATAATTTGACAGTTCAAATGCCGGAAGACCAATAACCCAATCTGGAAGCCGGAGAGACCAAGCTCCTATACCGGCGTTTCATGTATATCGGGCCGATGTAACGCAATTGCCGCTTCGGTAGAGAATCTGAAACAACACGATTAATAACGAGTCAGGGACACGGCAAGTGTACCCCGGATAACATGGCACGGTCACGTTCAGAGCTATCGTGAGGCAATCATGGTCGTAGCTTCATTTTCACTATAAAAATACCAGTACTTCCCTACTTGAGATCACTTCCTTCCAACAATAACCACGCTCTTCACTCCTGCTTTTCTCCCAAGATTTCTGCTCATTCACCATGTTGCGCCCCGTGGCATTCCTAGCATTGAGTGCTATTGCTCAAGCACACACAGTTGCTTGGGTCAAAGGCATGTACTGCCTGGGAGGCCCCGACCCTTCGACAGACAACGCAAACACAAACACAGCCGTGAATCCCCTGTACAATCTCAAGAAGGAGGACTGGTGGTTCCAACACGAACGCGGTTGTGATGCAGCACCTCCGGCAGCTGGCGACATCCTCGAACTCCCAGCTGGCGGAAAGTTCACTGTGGAACTTGCACACAACCGCGCGCAGACTACGCTTTCATACGGTGGAAAGTATACCTCCGAATGGCCGGACGGGAAACAACACCCCGAAAACTGGGCCGGTCCTGGAAACCCGCCCGACTGTATCCAAGAAGATGGTGCCCTGCATACCAACAACCAATCTATGGCTGCTGGCACTGCGTTTGCCATCAGCTATCAGTCTGAACTCTCTGCAGTAACCATGGAGAACTTGGCCGTGTTTACGGTTTTGGAGCAGTAAGTTAGGGTCTATACACTACAGCTGCTGGGGTTGCTAATCCGTGTACAGCACCCCGTGGAAGCGGATTGCTACCTATGAAGTGCCCAAGGATCTTCCTGCTTGTCCTCCTGGTGGATGCACCTGTGCTTGGCTCTGGGTATGTGTATGAAGATTCCGCCAGGCTTTACATAACTGACACCAAATAGGTCCCGAACGGTTGTGGACAGCCCAACATGTAAGTATCCATAATCCAGGTCCAGTCCTTTAACTGACGAGAACCAGGTACATGGCTGGGTATAAATGCAACGTTACTGGATCCACCTCCTCTAAGAAGGTCGCCCCCGCTCAAGTCCCTGTTTATTGTGCGGATGATGCCACCAAGTGCGTCAAGGGTGCTAAGCAAATGATTGCCTTCAACCGTGAGTCAGCCCTTCTCTCGGACGCTATGCGCAGAAGTAACTTGAAGCCGTAGAACAAACTGGGAACAATGTTAAAGTCCCCAACGGCAAGACACCGATGTATAACACTGCGTGGGGTTGGAAAAATGGTATGTCTTCCTCTACTACCATGTTACATGAGAACTTTGCTAATACTAAATGACCCGCAAGGTGCCCAAAATGATATTTTCGTTTGAATAAGGCCTGGGTTCGGGCAGAATGCAAGTAACGGAGCAGATGGGATGCAGATTCGAGAGGACACAGAGGGGAAAATGTACTATACGCATGCAGGGGATGAGTGCTACTGCTTTTCTTACGAGTGCCCGGTCTCGTTGGGCTCTTGTGTAAAGCAGAGTTAGCCAGACTCCGACAACTGACCACGAATTTAATCAATTTTTGTGGAGTGATAATAATTAAATTCGGTGAATAAAGATCACTCATGCACTGAAGATTGTAGCTCGAGTTAGGCCCATCTTCTCCATCACGTAGTTCAGGTTGCCTTCTGAGGCCCGAGTCTGGGGGTGATCAGGACCCAGAGTCCTCTGATTCCATGCATACGCCGATTGCAATAGAGGCACAGCATCAGAAAAGCGCCCCGCTCTGGCGTATGCCGCGGCCAGATTATTCATCACCGGCACCGTGTCCGAACTATTCTCACCAAAGGCCCGCCGCGAAAGCTCCAAGGCCTGCTCCAGTAGAGCCAATGCTTTGGCTTGGCCGTCTGCCGTATCTAACCTCTGGTATGTTGTTGCCAGGTTAGCCGAGCATCGAATGGTGGTTGCGTGGGTTTCCCCCAGATTGGCCTTGGAGAGTTCGAGGGCTTCAACCTGATAATGAAGGGCTCTATCGAGCTGGCCGAGCTCGCGGTAATCCACCCCGAGCAGATCCATTGTGATGATAGTCTCGAAATGCTCCTTGCCAAGAGTGCGGGTCCGCAGCTCCAGGGCTTTTTTATGCAGCCTGGCAGCGTCTTGCAGGCGTCCATGTCGGTGGAAACTGTTAGCCAAGTTGTTCATGCTGGTCTGGGTCTCTCTCGAGCCTTCCCCATTGATTTTGAGAAATGTCTCTAATGCCCGTTCTTCCAGATCCAGTGCCTCTTCGAATCGGCCGAGACCTTTCAGGTCCAGCGCGAGGTTGTTCAGCGATTTGGCCGTTTCGATGTCATCAGGCCCGGAGACTTGCAGTCGAACGGCGTACACTTGCTGATCCATCCGCTCTGCCTCCTGATACTCACCAAGGTGGCGCAGGGTGTACGCCAGATTGGTCTTCATAAAAAGCGTCTCCTCGTGATCGAGACCTTGAGATTCCTCAAGCAGTTGGACAACATGGCTCTGTTTGTCTCGAGCTTCCTGCCACTTATTCCCGTCCATCAACCTGCTGCACTCTTCCATCAAGCCGTGTACTGGCGACTTTGCCTTCTTGCTCTTGAATCTGAAAGATCTCATCGTTGCGTATTATGTGACTTTGGTACCTGCGCTCTGCAATCTTTCAGATGTATAATGTATTTCTCCAAAAGGACACACATTGTCTACTTTTGAATGGAGATCCGAGAGGATAGGGGTATTTATTAGACAAAAGACAACTTTCCCTAAAGTTTGGTCAGTGCTCGTATCAATGCTTGGCAGAGTTTCATTCCCACACCATCACAGTCAAATGATAGGATTGTGCCTCGTATTATTAGTCTCTTGGCAGAGGCCTCTCCATTCCTTCTTGAAGATGTGGATCCTGGGTGGCTCACGGATCAGGCAGCTCGTAAACAGGCGAGCCTGGGCTATTACGTGGCTGCCTAAGCTTATTAGTGAGGTGGAGCCCTAATGACCTGAGCGTTCGAAATTCTGGATTTTTCCTACGCCCAAGTCCTGTCAACATGTGAGTTTCGAGCATCTACCATCAGTCCGCTGCTTAGGTGATTTGAGTGTGGGATTTGTCGATAATATTTGGTCAAACAGCAAGGAGACACCCCTAGAAAACAAGTGGGAAACTGAAAGACTCAAAGAGTATATATAAATATATAGATCCCAAACCGTCTGCACCATGTCTGTTATATTCCTTGGACTCGCAGACGAGTGCAAGGTACAAGTAGTCAAGAGATGCTATAGTTTCGCAGCGTATGCCCTCAACCATGTCTATGGCTTTAGCACCAAGTCTGCCCCGACACACCTATTGCACACAAATAGGTGGGTTGGGTCCACCCGTTTCTTGATCGAGAGCAATCGCTCATACTTGTTTCCCCAGAACACTTGTTGCCATTGGGGTTCGTACCTAGAGATTCATGTCAGATGAATTCCCCGGCAGTTTTCTTGTTTTTTGATAAAGGGGGTAGATAAGGGGTAAGGACTACTCACGGACTGGCCTCATTCACATATGTCCCTCCGTCTGGGCCAACGATCTCGGTAAAGCGCTTGCTCAACTGTACCATCTTGTGTCGCTTCTCTCCCTTCTCGCGGGCTGTTGCATTATCCGGCCAATCTACCCCGATGCTCATAAGCGCGTGGCTGTGTTTCCAGATCTCATGGACGGCAGTGTTGTCGCGTTCCTTGTTATTGACTTTGCCAACTGCAAAAGAGTAACGGATTAGCATGATGAAACCAACTGCTACAAATAGATCTCCCTTACTGAAATTGAATCCCGCCATTTGATCATTCTCGATAATGAACTCTGCCAAATCGTCCGCCTTTTCCCGGATTATGTCTGCTGTCAACAGTCGTGACGTGTCCTGATCGTTGGTCCCGATATTGGGGTCTCGCAGGAAGGTTTTCAAATATCCATCCCAGTTGGAGGAATAGGCTCCAACCTGTCCCTTGACACCGGGAAGCTGTGTTAAATTAGAGAAGGAAGCGAAAGTCTGGTTAAAAGATTCTATGGTGCCGTTGGGTTGAATAAAGATCGCTTGGAAGCCCCCCATAAACAAGCCATATCCGGTGTAACCTGCGTCAGTGACAGCTGGGAGGAGTTTTAGGGATTCGGAAATGAGCCGCTTCGAGCTGGAGTTGTTGGTTGTGTTCAGTTGAACGAATCCAATGGTGAGGTTTTGTGTGACGGGATGAGTTTTGTAAGTCACCGACGTAACAACCTGGGTATAAACGGGTCAGCGCCAGCTAAATATATCAATCACCGTGGTTCTTAGCATAGATTCACATACACCCCAGGCACTTCCACCGCCGCCGCGAACAGCCCAGAAGTAGTCAGTGTCCGAATACGCATTGATCACTCGGTGTTTTCCATCAGCGGAAACAATGCTCATTTCCAAAAGATCTGTGCTCCTATTAGTCAGCGCTTCACTGGCAAAATGAGTCTTCTGTCACTGACTATCGGCAGCGAGGCCATAATAATGTGCAAATGGCGAATGGCCTCCTCCAAGCAAATATCCTCCGGCGGACCCAACGGTGCGCGCTGATCCTCCAACTATTAATACTCCCTGTCTTGCTGCAGCTTGGTATACGTCTACACGCTCCCCGTCAGTATCCCACTCTATGCATTAGAGCCAGTAGAATCATTCCACTCACCGAACCACTGCTCTCCAGCCTGCAAGGTTGCAGCAGGGATACCATTGACAGCTGCTGGTGCCCCCTGTGGGACAAACGACTGGTGCCAGTCGATGCCCTTCAGATTGTGAGTCCAGATGGCAAGAGCTCCTTTACCGCTTGATCGACCGAGGCTGTGGTAACTTTGTCAGTTGTGGATCCAATAGATAATCAAGGCTGTATGCTCACTGGTCATGTCCTGTGTTCTTGATGACAAGAAACAGATCCTTCTCGCTAGCAAATTTCACAGTCTTCTGGATATCTTCAACACTTTCAGCCCGGACAGCATAGTACGGCACTAATTAGAGCATCACATCATTAGTGACCAAGGATAGTAGAAAGTGCTTGGGCTCTCCTTCAAGTATTACCTATCCCTTGGTCGCATGGAGCGCTAACGGGTGTATCAATAAAGCACTGCCCGGTATTTCCCATCTCCCATACGGTTGCGGAATACGCTCCTGTTTGGTTCGTTCGCCAGGGGCTATCTAGCCAGTGCTGCCTTGCTATGTTGCATTGGTCGGCATTATACCTCTCCGTGTGACACACGGCAGCAGATGGAAAGGAGCGAATCAGTCGCCCACCAACGGTGGTGTTAAAGTCACTCCAAGCCTGATCATCTGGCCAACAGCTGTCACCATAGGCACATCGACGCCGGGGATGGGCTTGTGCATTCACTGCAATGGTGAGGATTGCCGCAGCCACGAGAGTGGCTCTAGCGTGCACGATCATGGGGGCTCAACAGTTTCGATGATAAGTTAGAAAACTTGAATGAAGGGGTCTATGAATGAAGATGATAAGAAGTTGTAGTGTTGCTATTGATGATTAGGACTGTATAATCCAGGATCTTACAATGATATTTATATTCTACTGGAGGGAGCTTTGGGGGAGTGCTGCAAAATGGGCGAGTACGAAGTTGCCAAATTAGGCAATAGTTGTATGATATGGTAGAAAATACGAAATGCGAACACGACCAGTGGAGCAAGCCCAGATTGCCCATAATTCTTGGCTGCTCCATACTCTGTCGATCCACATGGTCAGCTTTCACGTTAGCGTCAGTGACACAGTCCCATGTTGAATGTTGGGAAGTACTGAGGGTAATCCCCTGGAGCAGGCAGATATTTCATAGTAGGAACACCAGAAAGGTAAGCCAGACAGATTCAGTGTGAGAGGTAAAAATATGATAGGCTGTGGTTCAGCACTAAACGATGGAAGAGTCTACGTCACGTGCAGGCACATGACTTTCCCTATTTTTAGGCTTTTTCCCACATGGCCAACACCCACCACAAGAACCTTGGCTGCGTTTTGACGCTAATCCAAGCACTATATCCAAGGAAATGACACACTCACCACATATAAGTTCTATCAGTATAGTCATATTGTGAGATGCCGGATCTTCCGACGCTAGTCTTCATACCTGGCTCCTGGCATAGACCCACATGCTATGACAAGGTGACCAAAATCCTTCATGAGCAGCATGGATTAAAGTGTGTCTCAATCGCCCTCCCATCAACGACGGGAAACCCGGCTGCGACCTTCAAAGATGACATTGATGCTGCCCGTAAAGCTATATCCAGCGAGACAACCCAGGGGCGCAATGTGGTTGTCCTTGCACACTCGTACGGCGGCATGATTGGCAATAGCGCTATCAAGGGTTTCACGCGGCCACAAGACGCCACCGCCCAAACGGGATACGTTATCGGTCTCGTCCTCATAGCCACTGGCTTTACACTGACAGGACTGGCCTTCATGGATCCGTTCTTCGGCCGTCCACCTCCTTCCTGGCGGGTCAATAGCGAGACCGGCTATGCTGAGCTTGTCGCTCCTCCACGTGAGCTTTTTTATCACGACTTGCCGGCGGAAGAGGCTGAATTTTGGGTTTCTCAGCTCACGACCCAGAGCCTGAAAGCATTGTTCGAGGGTGGTGAGCATGCATATTCTGGTTGGAAGGATGTGCCTGTCTGGTATATTGGCACCGTCGAGGATCGGGGTTTGCCGGTGTTGGTGCAACGGATGCAGGTGGGTATGGCAAGGGAAATGGGTGGTAGTGTCGAGCATAGGGAGCTACAGACCAGTCATTCACCATTTCTGAGTCAGCCAGATGTGACAGCAAGGATCATACTGGAGGCAGTCGAGGCGTTTACAGTCAAGCAAGCGGGAAATGAATCTACAATGAGTGGACGTGGCGATGCGATATCAGTGCCGATGGCCAGGCTTTGGCAGCCTTTCACATGGATTAGATTTGGACTACCGCTGGCCCTGGGTCACGTAGTAGGAAGGTGTGTCCTCCTGTTTAGCTGGGGGAGGAAGTTATGGAGGTCTGGTTTCAGGTAATGTGGTCTTTAATATCAGTGTGACGGATCTGGTAAGGTGAATATGGCCTTTGCAATACCTCTATCCCAGACAAGTCCGCGCTTCTCTCTTCCTCACTCGACAGAGACTAGCTATCATGGAACAGCAGATATCCTGAAGTCTGCTGACAATGTATTTAGTCTTAAATGTCTATAGAACCTAAATAATATATGAAAATCTCCCATTCTGGCATTTTGCCCGGTTGCCTTCCCTGCTTGGGGTAGGCGGGATGCTAAAGGAAAACAGGAGGAAATGGAAAGTCCCAAATCACGCCTTGTTTCGTGTGCGATCGTGTCGACTGCCATCATGGGCACCAGCAGAAACGCTACTCCCACAGTCCTCCCTGTTTACTGTTAAAGCATGCCTGTTAACAAGATCTTAAACAACTCTAAATATCATCTTTCACGCCCATAATCCTCAAGAAGGTAATTAATCACATAACCCATTCGCTGCTTTATCTCATATAGGATGTCAGCCAACTTGATCACCTCTTCTAGCTTACTAGTTATTACTTTAGTACCTCCCAAAGCACACAATACTCCTAGCTCCATCTTTGTTCGTCATCATTTAGTTAAGCTCCGCATTCATAGCCCATTCTACTACTTCTAAGTCCAGAAGCTTGTAGTGGGACGATAAGAGTCTTACGGAGGAGTCCATGCCCAGGTGATTAATTTAGTAAGTATCAACCAGTGCAGGTTTCTCCATTTCCCAGTGAGATACTGTAGGAGTGACGGGGCTGGATCATAATATAATTCGCATGCATCTCTACACTTTTTCTAGATTTCAATCAGGGTTTAACTTCTCTTGGTCAAGAGATTAAGACTGCCTGTCAAGCGGCAATTTGATACTCCTCCTTTGGTAACAGTTGGGAGTGCAAAAAACACATGGTAACGAGCATGTGATGTCTGCTTAGCCAATATCAAGCTCGGCAAGCTTCTACAAAACAGGGTACTATTCGAAGGAATGCAATGCACATAATGGGATAATGTGTATAAGTCCCTTCTAGTTCTATTCCTAGTAGCGCTGTGATTCTTTTGGAAGCGACAACAATCACATCTTCGCATGCCATCCCTTATCATTGAGATGCAGACCAAACATTCCCTGCGGGCAGTCCCCATATCTGAACCGTAACGAAAAACGGGTCCAACAAATGATCCCATCTGCCAGGACACCTGTTTCCTTATGGTCACGGTCTATATTGCGCACATGCCCATGTGGACCCGAAGAAGCACCTCCCGCAGCCCGAACAAGTGCACAATCTGGCCAAATGCAACCAGGACATGGAAAATTTGATGGCTCGCACCCTATGTCTGTCAGCCACAGCCAATGGTGATACGGACAAACCACTTTTCAACTTACGATCAGATCGAATCGTGCTGGCCAAAACTTTTCTGGAAACCGGGTGACGTACACTGCCGTGCCGACGGCATATGACGAGCAGGTCACCGTAAGACTGTCCAGAGGAATGCGAATTAGGCCGGAAGAAGCCTCGGCCCACACAACATGAAAAATGGGGGCTAAGCCACTCGTGGCCAGGAGGAAAAACACAGCTGCCCTATAAAGAAGGTTGGCAGAGTCAAGACGCTGTAGAGCCAAAAATGGCAGGGCAAAACACTGACCTCCATGGACCAGCACGTGCACCATCCATCCGGGGATCTAGCGCAACCCAAAAGATCATGGCGGCACAGAGCAGCGTGAAGAAGATATATGTAGCTTGCAAGACGGGATAGCCGTATAAGGCAAAATAGGTCACTGAGATACATGTGGTTGTAATGGTCATCACAATCCCCAGATAGTCAAGCTTCAAGAAGGCGTGAGCGACTTCAGGTGAATGAGCATTGGTGGCATGGAATGCGGCCTATGATGATAATGTTCAGCCTGTGAGCAAGTTCTCAGGTCTCTTGAACCAGGCAGGAAAACTGACAGAAAAGATCAGGCATCCTGCCGTCCCAGCAACATAGGTCTGGATAGCAAGAATATCAATCACAGGCACCTCAAGCGGCAGTTGAATGATCCAATAGTCGATTGCGAGAAGCAATGTGAGAAAGTACATGCCAGGAATGATATGAGACCAAGTGTTGACTGATTCATTGTGTAGGTAGAACAAAGACCGGAAACACTGTCCATAGCTGTCTAACTGAGCCCGATACCCGTGAATGATATAGGGGTCCCATTGCATCCACGCGGGGATTTGAGATGCATGGAATACGCGTTGCTTCTTAGGAGGCTTAGACACATTGACAGGAGGATATTCTACCACCTTCGGGCTTGATGGGCTTAATAGATAGGAAAAAGTGAGCCGGACAGAAGTCATGGCCATGGTTTCAGCGGAGGACTCGGATTCCTCAGAACAGCAAAGACTTGATTGAATAAGTGTGTGTGTGGTTTAGACCACAAGCTGGTTAAGCAGGAACTATTTGTACTTGCTAGCTGATATGACGAGAACACAGGATAAGTTGATGTGAGATAAGACCAGACACAGCAGAAATGTACCAGATCCACTGTCTTATGCGAACCTTCCCTGAAGATATTTACAGAGGCTATGGAGACCATCGACCGCCCCCAGTCCTTAGAACCGTCCAGGTCAAGGCCATAGTCACCCGGTATACTGGCAGCTTTTCTGGCAACGAGAAAAACGTCATGGAGCTCTAATCTGAATCACGGAACCAGAAGATTCTGCAACAGCGTGTTCTACTGCGTGTGCTTCGGCGATATAACCATAATCAGTAATCCTGCGAGGCTCTCCCATTGGAGCTGAATGTTCAGATACGAGGGAAGAGGATTAGAGAATGCCAAAATTCTTATGGCGGATGTTTGCGAAGTTGATGCCTTGCTCAGCCTACCCGATTCCTTGTCAGGGAAGGCCGATTGAGACTGCAAGCAGGGTACATTTCCTTGAATTAACAAGACGCTGACAAGAATAGTTCACGGAGGTCTTGCCCAGGCAAGGATTCTTCCGGTCAAGTTCACATTGACAGATGGGTCCTGGGCGTTGAGCAGAAGTCTGAGGTATAGATCTCGATTGTGTTCATACCTATAGAGTACAGCTGGTGGTAATGACCATTTGATAATACAATACATACTGACCGTACCGTACCTTACCAACGCTGTAACTTTACCGTTTTGCACGCTGCCATACCAGCCTTAGCGCGTCGAGTTCGAACCATTCGGATGCCTCCCCACGGTCCTTGCCAGTAAGGTAGCCACAGCGGCGCCAACCGAGGTATTCACCGGCGTCTCCGAGTCTGGGGTCGTGATAAACGGATACCTTACCGAGCTAATCTTAGCATGATCAACACCGTCTCTACCTTGGCAACCAATGACGGAGCCTTGGAAAATAATAAAATGATGGTTTCCCGCGCTTGAGGCTCCGATGCCCTCCAACTCCGCGATCTCGTATTCATCATCATGCCACCATTCTGCAAGATTGCTGTCATCCAGCTCTACGTCAAGGTAAGTGTATATCGCGGGTATCTTTCTAAAATAGCTTCATCCATGAACAAACAGAGAAAGGGGAAAAAAACAAAATAGACCCACATTCTGTTTCAAATCCTGGAGTACACTTTTCTAATACGCTCTTCTTCTAGCCCCTCAAACCCGCCGACAACTTCGCGCGGGCGGTGAAATTTATCAGAGAGGCTGCTGCGCAGGCCTGCCAATTGGCGGTACTGCCCGAATTTCATCTGACCAACTGGATCCCCACTGATCCTCGTTTTGCTCCCCTCTGCGATGACTGGGAGACTTATCTGCATCGTTATCAGGCCCTCGCCAAAGAGTGTAACATATGCATCGTACCCGGATCGATAGTGCGACCCGTGTCTGCCTCCCCTACAGCTGCAGCAGGGACCACTGTCTCCGACAAGCAGACGCCGAGCCTAGAAAATGTAACCTTCTTCATCTCCAACACCGGTGAGATTCTAGGCTCCTACGTGAAAAAGAATCTCTGGGGACCCACCGAGCGAGCGTACCTTCGATCGTCCGGCGACAGTCCACACCGCGTCATCTCGACCCCGCTGGGTCCTGTCGGCTTGCTGGTGTGCTGGGACCTAGCCTTCCCTGAAGCCTGGAGAGAACTGGTGTCGCAGGGAGCCAAGATCATCATCGTGCCCACCCTGTGGACTCGCAGTGGTGCGTCTGAGGCAGGCCATCGCCAGAATCCTTCTGCACCCTCCCTGTTCCTCGACAGCATTCTGACTGCGCGAACGTTTGAGAATACCTGCGCTGTCGTCTTTGCCAATGCAGGCGGACCTCCGGGGAGGAACTACTGCGGACTCTCCCAGATCAACATTCCGTACGCGGGTCCTCTGGTCCGTTTAGGTACTTCCGCCGAAGGAATGGGCGTGGCGACGCTGGATTTGGCGGTTTTGGAGGATGCGGAAGAAAACTACGCGATCCGCTCCGACCTGACAGACCCCGTGTGGCATTACAGGCATACTCACCGGGCTCCAGTGGAATCATCCAAAGGCAGGCTATAGATAGGGCGAGAACGGCGATGGCGCGCTAAGCTGTGCTTACCTGCCTTAGTCAAATGTCGTAATTAGAGCCGTTGAAGCATGTCAATCAAATGAGTACATAAAAGGAACAACAGCACCAAACTCGGAGAATTCTCCGTTCAATGACGATTGGGGATCAGCGAAAATTGCGCGGGGCCAGCGGGTTAAGCCGGCTGTGGAGCTTCTCCCCGACGTAGTCTGGGGTCTGACAGGTGACAACACATAAGTTTGCGCTGCATCGGCTGAATGATTGGACTCGCTTATTGTCTCATCACACTTGTGTTACATCGGCTCTGTGACCCCAAATGGAAGGTTCCAAGAGATTTCTTTGCTTATTTACTCTGAAAGTTTAATCTAGGTTAATCGGAGCATTCGCTATCGGTCTTTATTTTCATGCATGCATGACTCATTCCGGAGCCGGCTTTCCACATGCTGAAAAACGTGATTGTCCCTGTTGAAGGATAATTGCGATCATGTATGAGGTTTTCAACTGAATCCCGGCAAGCGGCAATGACCGACGAGGCATAGCTCCAATCAACTTGAGACGTACTTTCTGCCTACAATCAGAACTGGACTTTGTGGCTTGCGCTACGAATCCTTCAGGATCCATTACACTCTTATCAGACATTGAAAATGTGGTGATCTTCATAAAGACGCAGATGATAGTACTTGACTAACTAGTGTCTCTTGGATAAACCAAGTTTACAGTATCACAGCTAGCATTGTGCATTCGTATGCAGCTCTTGACGAGACTTATAGCAAAGTACAACACATACAAAGTCTGACCCTGTTAGGCACCCGTGATGGTAATCTTCCAAGGTCATATTTCGGATAATGACACGCGCGGATTAATTCAAGAGTGAGCAATCTGATAACTAAGCTTTCCACTTCGAGATCTACCAGTCATGCAGATCCAGCCCCATATCAGCAAAGCATTTTGTGACGAATACGGGTTCTTGGCATAAGATACCGTACCATTTAATACCGTACGCTTTATGACTACATACGCTCAGCCCAAGTTAACCCTGCCCTGCCAGTGGCCATCAGGTTTCCCTGTATCAATTACACTCATCCCGCTGGAAACGCGCCTTCATCGGACATATGTCCCGTCCAGGATCCTGATCCCCCGCGGGAAATGGTCTCTGAATGGTGTATCCGACGTGGTGAGACATGCGGTCTATCATCGCGTTGGATTCCGGCGAGTAGTGCTAAACTGGTCAGTCATGGCTGCTTCCATGAGGATTGAGTCCCAAGAAGGAGGCAACATACTGGTGCTTCTCTTCGTTCGTAGTTCCGCGGTATGTCCTCGTCCAGATAGAATGTCTTGACGTCGTCAATGAAGAGGGTTGTTCGGCCGTGTTTGCCGAACTTGCCCAGCACACCCACCATGTTCGTGTACTGGGCGCTGCCTCCTGTTAGCAAGGGGCAAAGGATAATGTCCAAGTGTGCCTCACAGAGAGCAGATGGCGCCCTGATTACCAAAGACAAACCCTGGGTTTTCTGCTTTGCTTTGGTTGTGTCGCAGGTGATGGTGCTCCGCCATGTCTTCTAAGGATAAAGTCTCGCCGTCCTTCGAGAATGAGAGCAGGGACTCGAATAGAGTCATGTTGAGGTTGATATTGTCGCCTACTGCACGGTCGTTGCGTGTTGGCGCGGCCGGACAGTTGATCACATATTGTACCAGGTCATCCTACCAGACCGTTAATTCATACTCTTTCAGAAAACGAGAGCAATATCTTGCATTGAAATGATCCAGATTAATGGTCTCAGGCCATCCATGCATTGCGAACGTCGGCGCCAACACTAGCATACTCTGCGGTAGGGAATTAGTATAACGATGACACTCAAGGGATTCTTCTGGTGGGAGAATAACGTTATCATCGCCGAAATTCCACACCTTGCGGACGGCATGCGCCAGCTCAGCGTAGGTGATATTTCGTCCACTTCGATTGATATATCCTCGGTTCGCCAGCGCATTCACCGCGGGACATGACGAGCGACGGTATTCCCCGTCTTTCTCTGAGCCATTGAAGTGTCTCTCGTAGTAATTGACGGATTCATCAATGTAAAAAGGTTTCTTTTCAGGAAGGATATGATATGGAGTGGGGATGAACGGCTCGTTCAGCCCAAATCCTCGATCGTCGTCTACTTGGAGGACTTGCTGGTGATACTTTATAGCATAGTCCCAGTCGATTCCACGGGGATAGGAACTGACGGTGGTTAGCCAGAGAAAGACAAGAGCAATCGTTCTCATTTTGAGGAGAGGGAAAGTGATCGCGGGAGTACTGGAAGACTGAGAGATTTCCAGAATCTCGGCTTTAATATGAGTTACCTAAATACGAGGTTTACCTTGCTTGTCCTTATCTCCAGCATCACCAAGCCAGCATTTGTTGGATTGCGGGAAATGCCTCAATGAGGATGTCTCAGTCCCGTTTCGAGCGTTCCATCATCCATGCGTGAGTCGGTTGGATGATGCCCCGCAACGGAGACATACCTACATGTGTCATCTCTCCCAGACGAGCTCGGGTGTGTCCAGAAGGGCAGGTCGGCGGTCCCGTTAGGTAAGTGCATACAGGTACATACGGTAATGCATACATACATCATACAGCCTTGATACACATGTATCAGGCAATAGTTGGTGAATATATTTTGCATACATTGTTGTCTTTATTGCTTAATGCGGCTTTCCTTATCAGGAATGCTCCTATGTGCACTTGAGAGACGAGGTCATCCCTGTGGGTCAGGTCGGATGTTGGCCTGATTAAAGTCCAAGATGAGAAGAGTGAGATGGCCAGGATCTGTGGTGTGGAGGGTAGAGCAAAGAGGCATATAGAGAGGTGAGTTTCTGGTTGGAAGGCCCCGTTTCTGCTTCGTCCAGTCTTCAAGAAATTCTTGAGAATCTATCCATGATGGTCTTCAGTCATTGCCTATTTTTCTCGTCCCTTTTGATTTACTATGCTGTTGCACGGCCAGTGGTTCCCAGCCAAACGGTGATGGAACCCTCCGCAGCCCTTCCTAGTGACGTGGACCAGTACACACTTCCCATGTTTGATATCAAACCCTGGGAGCGAGTGTATGAGGTCCGCCTCGCCCGTGAGGGATATCTCTATGGACCACCTTTGCTTGGGAACACATCGTTCTTTCCCACCGGGGTGCTCGGGGATGCCATGGTGGCACGAGATAAGGCTGCGTGGTTCCGTGATGTGGAATATGTCAGCAACAATGTGTACCCCGAGTGGAACAAGGCAGCCACAGCACTGGCAAAGGTTTGTTTGCAGAAGGGATCCACGCCCGTAGGAGGAACCTGCTAACTGAATGAGGCGGGGGGTATACAATCTCTCTCCAGCTACGCAGTCATCTACGAGGAACAATGGGCCTCCACCTTGCCGGACGGGGTTGCCCCCGGCATGCTGACAAACTGGACCCAGGACCTGCTGTTCTCTATGGAACGGCTCTCAATCAATCCCTACGTGGTTCGACGTCTTCACCCGCGCAAGGACCGGCTCCCGTTTGCGGTCGATGACAGAGTGGTGCAGCACCTGGCGGGAGGAAGTACCCTTGAGGCCCTCCACCGTGATGGGCGTCTTTTCTTTGCCAATCATTCATACCAGGCGCCGTATCCCAAAGCACCTGAACGCTGGACAGCCGCTTGCACTGCCTACTTCTTCATCCATCCACGCTCAGGCGACTTTCTCCCTCTGGCCATCAAGACGAACATGGGGAGTGACCTTACATATACTCCAATGGATGAGACAAATGACTGGCTGTTTGCGAAGATGGCTTTTGACATGAATGATCTGTTCCACTCGCAGCTTTACCACCTGGCAAATACACATGACGTGGCGGAACCCGTCCACCAGGCGGCCTTGCGGACCATGAGCGCTCGTCATCCTGTTCGCGGATACCTCGATCGCCGTATGTTCCATTATTTGTCCTCATTCATTTAGTCCGGCAACTACTGACAGTTACAGTGATGTATCAGGCGTATGCAGTTCGCCCTATCGGAGAAGAATTCCTCTTCAACGATGGGGGCTTCTACGACAGTTCGTTTGCGCTTCCAAACTGGGCTGGCAAGAAGTTCGCGACGGATGCCTACTGGGAGCACGCGGGGCATTTCAAGGCCACGAACTTCTATCAAGACCTGTTTGACCGCGGACTTGTGGACTGCACTTATGGGCCCCGCTTGACCTCATTCCCGTTCTATGAGACAGTGGCACCCATGGTGGAGGCTATCGAAGAGTTTACGCGAACATTCGTGGAATTGTATTACCCAGAGGAGGCACTAATGGATGTAGACAATGAACTACAGGATTGGATCATCGAGGCCATAGAAGCGGCCGAGGTTATCGATTTCGTGCCGGCCCCGATGCGCGAGCGCCAGCAACTGATCTCCGTGCTCTCACACATGGCTTTTCTCGCAGGTATTGCTCATCATGCGCTCAATGGCGCGACGGTCGGCGAGGCCTCGGGGGTCCTCCCTCTGCACCCTTCCTCCTTCAACCGGCCCCTACCTGAAACCAAGGGGAGTATCGATTCCCTACTCCCCTGGTTGCATAACGAGACCGAGGCGCTGAAACAGGCCTCCCTCCTTGTGCGTTTTAACCGACCATTGCTGGACGAACAGGAGGGAAACCTGCCTCATATGTTTTCAGGATCCAGCTTCCTGGCGCGGACTGGAACCGCAATTCATCATGCCGAGAGGAGGTTCCGGGAGAAGATGTGGGCGATTAGCGATGATATCCGGGTGAGGCAGTTTGACGAGAGGGGTCTGTCGCAGGGGATGCCGTTCATCTGGCGATCGATTGATCCTCGAAAAATTCCATACTACTTGTGTGTGTAGCCTTGCATTGTGTGGATGGTTACGCAGTGCATTGTCTAGGAAGTGGCTGTTGACCCGTTTCGTGGACTCGTTATAGGTATATATTTTGAATTGTGAGTGTACACCAGGTACAAGATGATTCGTCAAGTGAAACCAAAGTATTTTCTCAAAGTCCTCATTGAAATAGAATATTTGCCGCACGGCAGATAGCTAGTAACATTCAACTAACCAAATGACAAGATCGGAGTATCCATGACGGCATATCCATATGTCGAGGGAGTGGCCCTGCATTGATAGAGAATCTCAGTTTCGACAAGACCCTGATATAACTTGTATGCTGCGAAGCAACTACAGCTTAGACCCAGTCTTGCACACAGCGGAATTCCATGCTTTCTCAACTGCTTCTGCATACCGTGCAGGATTATCTGGCATGTGCGCGCAGTGACCCGTACCCTCAAAAAGCACCTCATCGACCTTCCAACCCTTCTCTTTGGCTTCCTGAGCGTGGTCCCAGACATCCCGCCAGTCAGTCATACGGTCCTCCTTCGAGTACATGTAGCACACGTATCCTGCTGCGTCAGGGTCATCTCGTTGGGGCGCTGGACCGACCGTCTCCTCCTCCAGGAGAGTGCGGCGCATGAGACTAGCCGGGTTCTCGTTTCCGCATGCAATCCAAGTGTAGAGCAGGACCAAGAGAAAGTGAACCACAACTGAGCCCATGAGGCGAGATGACGGAGGAAGAGAGAAGACCATCGCATTGTAGGATTTCCAGTATGTTCCCTTGGCTGGTGTACTGTCCAGCACCAGCCCGATCAACGGCAACGGCTGGGAAACAGTCTCCCTGAGCGTAATCAACAGCTGCGTCGCGGTGTTGGTTCCGCCATTGGAGAAGGTATGCAGCAGGATCCGCGGCGCGTCACTTTCCGCACTCTCTGCCAGGGTCTCCAGTACGACGTCCACGGCGGGCCGGATCAGTCGACGCTGGCGGGCGTAGCTGCTCACTAGGATCGAGACCTCGGATTCGATCAGCAGGATTCGGGCATGAGGAGCAATGGAGCGGTGCAGATCGGTGTATTTGGCGATGTGCTTGGCCGAGGCCCCCAGCCAGGTACAGACGATGACAAGATGACCAGGCAGCGCTTTGTCGGGAGTTGAGAGCCAGGTGCGTGTGGCTATGCGAGTGAAATGTGGAATTAGAGACCTGCTCCGCGTTCAACCTCGGCGTTTTCGAAAGTATCGGTGGTGCATTAACAAAGGGCAGTATTGACAAGGGTGCTTACATGGTGCGGGATGACAAATCAGGCGTTCTTTTGCTCTTTGTTTTGTTTTTTCTGTGATGTCTTTCTGCAGATACGGATGAAAATGAAAATGCAACAAAAGGGGCTTCCCCTGCTCTATTATATGCCATTCCCTTCGTCTCTCTTCCGACCTGGCATAGCGGCCAGTTTTCCTGCCCCCAATACCGACTGATTCAATTGTCCGTTTTATCTTCGCTTTCACGTTCATTCTCCTCGCTATTTCATTGCCCCACACCTACTCGCTATGGAGACTAAGCAGTCCGAGAAGCCTCAGGCCGAGGAATCTCCAGCTCCAGCACCAGCACCACCATCAGCATCAGCATCAACTCCAGCTCCCCCGAACGGTGGATTGGCGGCCTGGTCGGGCGTCTTTGCCTCGTTTCTCCTCTTCCTCACTACCTGGGGATTTTCCACCGCCTTCGGTGCATTCCAGAGCTACTACCAATCCGATCTGCTGCACACCAGCTCTCCGTCTCGCATCGCTTGGGTGGGCACTGTCAATGCCTTTTTCCTCATCTCCACTGGCGTCATCGCCGGTCCGCTTTTCGATCGGGGATACCTTCACCATCTGATGATCGCCGGCTGTTTCCTGACCACCCTCGGGCTCATGATGCTGAGTCTGTCCACGCAGTACTACCAAGTATTTCTCTCCCAAGGACTCTGTTGTGGCCTGGGTAGTGGCTTGATCTACGTCCCCGCCTTGTCGTTGGTCTCAACGCGCTTTACAACGCGCCGTGGCATTGCAGTTGGCCTGGTCACCTCAGGCGCGAGCGTGGGTATGCTTCACTAATTTAAGTTTATTGAACCGCTGAGCTGATTGAAGTCACTCCACCCCAGGCGGAGTCCTCTTTCCTATCATCTTCATTCGTCTTCAACCACGTATCGGGTTTCCCTGGACTGTACGGACCTTGGGCTTTATTCAGCTGGCCTGCTCGTGCATCGCAGTTCCGCTGTTGATGGTCACTACCAAGACCCGACGAGGTCCTCCCCGGCAGCTCATCCACTGGCATGCGATGAAGGAATGGAGTTTCAATGCTTACGGGATCGCCAACTTCCTCATGTTCATGGCCTACTTTATTCCCCTGTTCTACGTCCCTGCCTTTGCCTCTACCGCCCTCCGCACTTCCACCGACCTTAGTTTTTACATGGTCTCCATCCTCAACGCCGGCTCTGCCTTTGGCCGCATCGGGTCCTCCCTGCTGACCTACCGACTCGGCGCCAGTCACATCCTTCTCGCCAGCGTGATTGCTTCGGCGGTGCTTCTTTTTGGCTGGATCGGCATCCATTCCGTTGCCTCGTTTGTCGTCTTCTGCGTGCTCTTTGGCATCTTCTCTGGCGTGCTCATCTCCGCTAATCCGCTGGTCATCGCCCACCCGGTAGTCTCGCCCACTCCTTCAGTGATTGGGACGCGCATGGGCATGCAGTGGTTTGCAACCAGTCTTGGTGTGTTAATTGGAGCGCCTATAGCGGGCGTTATTGAGGGTCATGGTGGAGACAATGGCTTTCTGGGATTGCAAATCTTCAGTGGAGCAGGGATGGCTCTGGGAGCAGCATTTCTGCTGGTGCCGCTGATGGCAGTTTGGCGACATGATCATATGCAAAACAAGGCGTAAGGTTGGCATCCAGCCTACCCCAAGGGTGGTAGGGGAAGCAACCGGGCAAAATGCTAGACTTGGGGGGCGACCTGTCAGCCATCAAAACCTCGGTTAAAAAGGTGTCTAGACAATGTCGCATTTCTAGCGTAGTGGGAATGTTAGTGCATAACCTGGTCCACACGACTAAAGTACGAAAAACGCAAGGTAGAATTAGTGCTTATGCTGATCATCTTCGTGTACAATTAGTGCTTATGCTGATCATCTCCCTAGCTGCATCTCGTATGGTAACTATCATCTGTACTGTTGTGGTACGAACCGTATCATATTGATACCAATACCAATTACCATACATCACGTTTCTTTGCGTATTGTATATACCCAAATATGTCATTCTGGAATTCTTGTCACGAATCTAAGAGATCCGCCAGTGTACTCAATGCAGTAACACATCCTCTAGTTTCTCAGCTTCAGAACAAACTTGACGACATGCATCCTGCATGTCAGCCTCTGTTGCCACCCGGGCAAGTGTCCAATGACCCACGGAGAATCCTTCATCGCCTTGCCAGTAGGCACTCCTTTCGGACCGCTGGCTGAATATGGACATTCCGGTCCTGGCTTGCGTGGAGCGGGGCGTCTCTGCTCATGATCTTGTTTTCGTCTCGTGTTGATGAGGGCCTCGGACAGACTGGTATGGTCAAGCAGAAAGCAAGGCATTTCCCTCTAGACATGCGGGATGATGGACGATAACCCAAGGCATAGAAATGATCCTGCCGGACATAGGACCCGATTAGGTAGGAGGAGACACCCAGTTGGAGCCGTGGCTAGCCCATGCTCGATACATTCCCCGTCCTGCTTGCGGTGTGCTTCCACAAGGGAGTTGCTGAAAGATGTCAGCTTCCACCGAGGCAGAGAAAAGTCCTACCCCGCCCAGCGCAAGAGATAAAAGGCACGGGCGGCCAGAGGAGATGTGGCTGCTCATAAATCTCCCGTCAAAAGTGCTCTTTACCTCTCTGCTTGGAACCTCTGTCGTGTTTCTGTGAAGAATTCCGAGCCAGATATGGATTACTTCAAAGCCGTTGACCTGACCCTTCCCCCTCACTTCATCGCTGCCCTCAGCAGACCAACCGTCCTTGCTGGCTTTGCATGTGTCTTTGTGTTCTCCCAGCTTCTGGTCTGGACTGTCAAGTACTCGCGCAAGAAGTCCAAGGGTCTGGCAGATATCCCTGGTCCATCTGGATGGCCCCTAATCGGGATTGGCCTGGATCTGCCGGCCCGCCCCCGTGAATTGTTAAACTCCTGGGCAACCCAGTTTGGTGACACCTTCAAGGTACGCGTGGGGTGGTACAACTGGGTGTTTTTTAACCATCCAGATGCGGTCAAGGAAGTGTTTGATCGGCAGGTGAGCCAACCCCTCAACTACGAGTCCCTTGCTGTCAGAATGCTCATACAGTATAGGCGGCTGTCACGTCCGGCAAACCACCTCTCCCCATCGCCCAAGAATATTGTCTTCGGGGCGATGGCGTGCTGCCGATGACCTACAGTGCAAAGTGGAAACGTCTGCATGCCTTTTTGAAGCAGCTGCTTAATGCCAAGGCATCGGCGGCGTTTATCCCCAGCCAGGAATTTGAGATCAAGCAACTTCTATGGGATCTCAGCCATGAGGCGGGGAAAAACAGCACAGATTTCTATATGCACATCCGCCGCATGACCTTCTCCATTGTAATGACGTCCGCGTACGGCCTTCGGATCCCTCAGTGGGACTGCCAGGAGGTCCGTGACGTATATGGAAACATGCGGATGCTGTCAATCATCCTAAGCCCCGGGGTGTTCTGGATTGACGTATTCCCGCCCCTTAACTGGTTACCACGGTTTCTATTCCCGTCATGGCCCAAAGCCAAGTTCATGGCACAGAAGATGCACGCAAACAAGATGAGGCACTGGAACAACCTCAAGGAGCGGATTGCCCTCGGGAATGCGCCCGACTGCTTCGCCAAAGACCTCATGGAGTCAAACTACCGCGAGCACGGACTCGAGGAGGAGACGGTCTCCTGGCTAGCGAGTGCGGTGCCGGAAGCCGGAGCGGAGACAACGGCCAGCGCACTCAACGGCATGATCAGGTACTTGGCCATGTTCCCGGAGGCCCAGGCCCGAGCCCACGAGGAGGTCACACGGATCCTTGGCGATGAGCGGATGGCCACCCTGGCCGATGAGCCACAAATGCCCTATATCAAAGCAGTGATCAAGGAGACGCTGCGGCTGTGTCCCGTGGCCACGACGGGGCTGCGTCGGATGGCTGACGGCGATGTCAAGTACCGTGACCACGTCATCCCCAAGGGAACCATCCTGCTCGCGAACCTGAACGCACTGCATTGGGACCCGGAGCGTTTCCCGGATCCGTTCAGCTTCAAGCCGGAGCGGTACCTCAACCATCCCAATCGATCAGCGGTGTACGCAGCCGGGGGGGACATCATGGCCCGTGACCACTTCACCTTTGGCGCCGGACGTCGCATCTGTCCAGGAATCCACCTGGCAGAGAACGGGCTGTTTTTGGCGGTGTCCAACCTCATCTGGGCCTACGAGTTCAAGCTGCCCCTGGACGAGAAGGGCAACGAGATCGCCCTAGATATCAGCGACGAGGGATTCATGGAAGGTGCCATCCGCGTGCCAAAGCAGTACACCGTCCGAATCCTGGAAAGAAATCCGGCGCGGTCCCGGCTTATCCAGGAGTCGTGGGAACAGGCCCAGAAGGATGGATACATCCTGCGAGGCGTACGTGTCGATGCGGATGGAGGAGTGAGAGGCAGCGCAAAGGTTAAGGCATAAGGATCATGTCCCTGATGACGTTCAGAATATACTGCTCACTTGCGGGGGATTTTTCTCTTTATTGAAAGTTGAAGGTAGCGCTATTACTGCTTTAAATTCAACAGTTTTGCTCATACGTACAATACGTTGAAATGTTGATCGTCTAGTACGTGTCTGTCTCGAGGGGCATATAGAACTCAAACAAGTGGCCGCCAGCTGTCTTCCCTCCTGATCGCGCTACTTCAGCGCCACTGAGTCATGTAAAGCCTCCCCTGTCGACGCCTGTGCGCATGCTTATCCAATCAGCGAGCGGTTGAGAGAAAGAAAGCTGCGAATCCACAGGGACTGAATGAGCTCTGGCGCTTCAGCTTCCAGAACAGCTTAGACATGTTAGGAGTCCCATGCCGTTAGCGGCGCAAAGCCACGCGTCTGTGTGGCTTGATTCCTCCTCTGGATGAGCTGAGGTGGATATGTTAAACGATGATCACATCTAGCTAGTATTGAGGAATATGAGCTTAACATTGTGTGCCTGACAGATACCAGCAGGGCACTCATACTAGATCATTCTCGGGATCGTAGGCTAAAGTCCTTGCTCATGACTTAATCTGCATTCTGCACCAGGTGTTTCTGCCGAGCAGTATATTCAGATGGCCCCCAATCCCGTCATAAACCAGACCTGGAAGGGAGAAAGCTGGCGCGTCCCTCAATAATTTGGGGTCTGGCCAAGCCATAACATACCGCTGATATCTGACTACAGGGTGCCAAGATAGCTAACCTGCCTTAAGCTGTCATGCCCGGTCTTAATTTTCCAAAAGATTCGTTCATTTTACCTGATCTTCAATAAATTAGATGCCATATTTCGCTTGATGAAGTTGCTAGACTTGCCTTGGAATGAATAATCTATCAAGGCCTCGCACCATTCATGAGCCCGTTATGGTTTATGTGATGGCTTCTTGTTGGGATTGGTGATGTTATCATAAGCATAATTTGAGTTATGTATGTTATGTAAAGCATGCCCTGCACATCATTGCATAACACCCTGGTATTCTCCCCATGATCTGCTGGGCTTTACTCGGTGATAAGTTAACCCCGAGATAAATCCACGCCTAGTTTCAGAGCAGAACAAGAAATCTTACTCGGTATTGTTCCCCTGGTCTAGAGAGTTGTCCACCATGGCTTATACCATCAGTCAAGTTCGGGACTGGAATGCGTCGTTAAGATCCCAACGTTCAAAACTGGTGGCCCTATTTGTAGGGGGAACAAGCGGTATTGGAAAGCACGCCGCGATAAACTTGCCAATGACGTCGACCAGCCGACGATCTATCTAGTCGGCCGCAATGCAGACGCCGGTACCCGGATTGTGGGGGAGTTGAAGGCAGCAGCCCCAATGGCTCTTACTGCTTCATACCCGTCGACGTATCCCGGCTATCTGACGTGGATGCACTATGTCAAAGCTGCAGATCCGCGAAAAGTTATTGGATCTCCTCTTTCTCTCTGCCGGCGCTGTTGCATTTAGTAAACAAGGTGAGAAGAGATCGCGGCACTCTTCCACCAGAAAATAAAGGGGAGGGAAGGGAAAAAGCTGACAAATTTCGGAATATAGAGACCGAGACGGGAATCGACGTGAATCACATACTACATTACTACAGTCGCATGCGTTTCGTCTATAACTTAGTGCCGTTATTGGAAGCTGCCGAGAAGCCACGTGTAATCAGTGTTCTGGCTGGTGGGATAGAAGTCAGCATCGAAGACGACAATTTGGATCTGAGAAAAAGATTCTCTCTTTCTGCAAGTTATGGCTATCCGGCTACGATGACTTCTCTGGTCTTTGAGGTGTTGGCATCACAACACCCGTCAATAAGCTTCATTCATGAGTTTCCCGGCGTTGTGGCGACCCCTATCCTGAAGAAGAGCATGGGGGTTGTCTTGGGAACTATTATATCACTCTTGATCAGGCCAATCTCCATCTCAGAGAGGTAAGTGGGGAATGGCAGGTCTTTTTCTCTACCTCTCCAAGCTTTCCTGCTAAAGGCTCGGCGGGTTCAGATGTTGCTACGGAGCGAGATATCAAGATTACACAGGCATCTACTGGAGAAGTGGGCGGAGGGGTTTATATCCTCAATTATAAGGGTCAGGACGTGACCAACAAACCATTGATGCTCAACTCCGAGAGAAGGGCTTCCTGGATATAGTTTGGAAGCATACACTAGATACGTTCGATCGCATTCTTGCTTGAGACGTGAGAAGATGAAATACAACGACCGCGTCAGAGGACCGTTGGCCGAAGTGGGTTCCCAAAGCAAAGGTTAAAGACGCCTAGGCGGAAAAGAAATCCTTAAGACCATTCCAGAAACCAATTCTGGCATGATATGGTAATCTAGGGAGTTAGTAGACAATAGATAAAGGCGACGTAAGATGCAGCCGAAACTCTATGATCTTCTCATCCGACTTTGTTTTGTGGTGGCACAGATAGCAGACAACTAAGCTACTGGTGTTTATACACATAGTGATTAGAGCCAGCGTTAGGAAAAAGAATCAAAGAGTCGAATAGCACCAAGGAAGCCACAATACCAGTAGAGAGAGAATCGTTGTAAGTGAAGGTGAATGAGCTTGCCTTATCTTGCACATACCAGTACAGCAAAGAAATGGTAGGAAAGGCAGCGTTCAAGGGGGTGTTGGGGACCTCAAGTTAGATTCCAGTATAATCCACCATGGATTGATTCACCTCGGCCCAAAAATCATACTCGTCGACGTCGAGTATAGTAGATATAAGATCTCTCCAGTTCAAATCCAATGCTTGCCATCGCAAGCCAAAGTATTCTCTTGCTGATATGCTATAGCCGGCTGTACCCCAGTCAATAACCCCGGTGATGGCATTATCCTTTATCATAATATTGCTTTGGTGCAAATCACCATGTGTGAGCACCTTCCTCTCATCCCGGCTACCCGACGCAAGGATTCTTTCTGCCAGAGGCTCATCCCTCTTAGTAAGCTTTCCGTAGGGTCTGGCGTTGCAGAGTGCCTCCACCACCCCTTGGTTAAATTCCTTTCTTGTCAAAAATGGTCCGTATTAACGAAACTTTGCAACCCACGAATGCTTAAAGAAGACATCTTCACATGGGCCACCATCAACAGATCCAAACAGTGGCCCATCAATCTGGCGCCACTCCTGTATGAACCCTTGAAGCTGTCGGACAATCAATCTTTTAGCATCCCCTGTTAAACCTTTCCAGCATCGTACAAGAGGAATTCCTGGAACCTTCTCCATCACAAGGAACCCAACACCGCCGATAGTATAGGCATTGAATACTTTAGGAACAGGTACTGAGGTCCTTTCCCTGACGAGGCAGAGAGCTTCCGCTTCTCCCATCCGAACCATAGGCCCGACCTTCAATATGGTTGAGGGGTTGATTACTAGGATTTTCCAGCCGCCCATGCTGCGAGGGCATAGGTCTTTGGCGTTTCGGATCTCATCCAGAGTGACAATTAGGGGTGTTTGATGTCCCATCGAGGGAGCATAGCATATACCGTTAGTAGACGCGAGGACATGGGAGAGCCAGCTGACAATCTCCGGTGGTACGGGCTATCAGGGTGTTAGAACATTAGATTCTGAAAGATGGACGCACGTACTGGGCAGCCGTTGCAAGAATCCTCGTTCATTTTGGCTTTACTGCCTTGGGGCCGTGTTCCCGAGAGTTCCTTGTCAAGTGGTATTAAGAACTTCCTTTGTATACTCTGCAGAATTGGAGCTAATTCTTGGAAAACCTAGAACCCACCTGACTTAGTGTAATTCAGTGAAGTTTTGTATAATATGGGCCACATCTCTTTTCTTTCGTTTTAGTTTTCTCCCAGTGGGTTGCGGTGCTTGCCGTCGCTGGCCAGCGGGGTTCAGCATTCAGGCTGAAGGCTCGACTAAAAGAGTAAGCCAATTAAGATCAAGCACATCCTGCATTGCATCAAAATCCAAGAAACTACGGAATCCTACACGCAAGGCTGAGGATGTCTCGGCCTGCTCAACTGCCTTCTGCTCGATGGCAAGGCTGAAGGCAGTTCTTTCCTCCCTGAGATTAACGGGGCACAAGAAAGTCAACCAGCGAGATAGATGACATTAAACATGCATGACAGCGATAATCTTGTGTCATCCAGCTAGGATGTGACATCAAAGGACAGGGATGACACTGGGTTCAATCACCCGTCTCCCCTGCCGATTGCGCACAATTTCACAGTTGCCATCATGCGCCCTCCCAAAAGCAACGGATGTTGCTGCGTTGTTTGACAAGAGTTTCGATGTAGCCCAACATAGGAAGATGTCAAGTGATGAAAACGGTTATTGAATGGGTGTCCTTGGGCGCTACAACGTGGTGCTAGCACACATGCCCAGTGTGGGCAACGTTGCCGCCGCCACAACGGTGGCTGATCTGCGTTCCAGCTTTCCATATATCGAGCTGGTAAATGTGGTCGGTATATGTGGTGCTGTACCTCAGGGAAATAATGGGCAAGATATCCATCTAGGCGACGTGATCATCGGCGAAGGCCTCGTCCAATATGGCATGGGTGGACGACTTCCCGGTAATCGATTTCTGTGGAAGCACAGTGTGTCGGCTGAGTTGCAAACTCTGCACCATCGATCATGCCTTGAACAGAAGACATGGGTATATGCGGAGATCTCACGATCTACGTGGCCGCACTGCACTCTCGTTAGCTGTTACGCAAGGCAAAAAAGCTTGCCAGCATCCCGCTGCTCAATGTCAGCTCCAGGGGGAAGTTCACATTAGAGATCCACCCCTCCACAAAACTGTAACTCTATAATATGCTTACCACTGTGCAATGCATAATTTTAAGCTCTATCTAGATCTTCTTCCTTCTATGCGGAGTGTTTCTGTGGGTCGGTTCCCGGCTCCGTCACGAATATATATACATTTAAGAGGTGGCAATATGGCATCCTGAATAAAATCAGCAACAGGTCAGACCTTCATGACAGGAGTATAGAGATTGACACTTACTTATATCAGCTGTCTAGTAGATCTCCCACAACACCGGCTGACTCTTGATATTTCCATTACAATCCATATTCCTCTTTGCACTAAGCTTCCCACCCGGCCAAACCGCCTAATGGCCAAGGTATTTCCATCAGTCCAGCCGTGAAGCCCATCTTAGGTCCATATAAGGTCCAGGCTACATTCAAGAACAAAACCACTCCCTAGTCTACTTTTGATATAAACCACCACTTGCCCGCTTTGGCATATCGCTTTTACTGACAGATTTCCTTCCCTTGCGGCCTGCCTTACAACAGGCCAAATCTCTCAAATAAGGAGCGTTACTTGCCAAGAGGCCAAGACTCCGCTATTGAAATACTAGAGCCGCGGGGCCTACTCCCAAGGCTTCGCTTCGTATGGTCACTGGCCAGAGGTGCACTACAGCATTACCTGCTTGACTTATTCCTTGGCACGCAGCCTCCTACCAGCGGTTGCCGCTTGCCATGTGAGTTGTGGCCTTGTGGGCTTAGCAGGTCCGAACGCAAGTTCCCAAACCCAATCTGCTCAGATCATTCCCGGCCAAGCGGTCTGCAAGCCTGTAACTATCTCCGAGACTCAGCCCCTATTTCTCACTGCCTACCTTGAGCTGGAGCAAAAGATTCGGCGTTATCAACGTCCAATCTGTTATGCTACGCAGTTCTTCAGCACAGAGGTTCCACAAAATGTCATGTGATGTCCATATATTCACTAGCATGTAACACTTCTACTATAGCTCCTTGACTGACTCCTATCTATACAACCACCAAAATGCCATGTCCTTGTGGACAACCGAGGCATTAAATTGATACACAGTAATTAGATACAATTATCACCCTTTCTTCCACAAAAATAACCAGGCTACTTGCCGATTTTGAACTATCTCCTCCTTAGATATTATATGCCTAGTAGATCCCCCACAGAACCGGCTGGCTCTTTATATTGCCGTTGCAATTCATATCACCCTTTGCACCGATCAGCCCGTCCCTACCAAATTGAGCAATAGCGCTGTTGATGATATCAATAACATCCTGCCCGCCGACCTTGAAGTTGACGTTGCCGTCAGTCTTGGTAGCCTCGACGCCGAAATGACAGCTGGCATGACTGGCAACCTCGCGCTGCTTATGGCCGACAACCTGGGTGGTCCAGTCGGTGCTGCCATCACCCTCGATGTTCTTGATGATCTGGCGGCAGTCCTCAACCTGGGGCGATGCGCCGCTGGTCTGGTCCACAAAGGTCGAGTCCCCGCACTCGTCCTTGCCCGGCGGGATATCGCAGGGCCAGTTCGGGCTCGAGTCCTTGTTGGCTGTGTCCCAGGACTGGAAGGCGCGCTCGGGGCTGCAGACAGGGATCCGCATGAAGCCGGGGGTCGTGACGTCGACCTCCATCAGTTCGGACATGGTGCCCTCGTTGGTCGGGTCGGCCACCTTGGCGCCGTTCTCCCTGCCATTTCCGATCCAGGTGCGGACGGAGCCTTTGACCAGCTCGGTCTTCGTGATGCCGTTGTAGTTATGCCCGTCGGAGATGTACTCGATTCCCTTGGGCGCAGAGAACTTGTTGTCTCTGCAGATTGTCTGACAGGGGCCGGCATCGGTGACACGCTCGCAGGTGCATTTTGTTGCATCGCCGTCCGGATACGCCAGGTAGTACTGCCAGTTGTCTACACAGACACCCGTGGCGCCCATCGTGTCGTTGTCAAGGTAGTCGCTGAGATCCTTGTCTTCATTACAAGCGTGACCCGCGTCGATAATAAACGTGTACGAGCCAGATTGTCGCCACAGGGCGGGGAGGGCGAAGCCAATGATACACTTGTTGATGTTGGCGAGCAGCTCATTCTGTTCATTTCCCGTCGTGGGGAGGTCGCCTTCCTTCTTACCATTGATGAGCTTTCCATCAGACATAGCTTGCCAGAGAGCGTCAATCGCCTCGGGGGATCCGAGGAAGAGCTTTTCCAGCGCAAGAGACGTAATATTGGCCCAGCCATAGACGACCTGCCCCAGATAGGCTGAGAACTCATCCTGTTTCTCCGGCGTCCACTCAGCCTCGGTCCCTCCAGGTAAGGCGTCCTTGGCGATGGTTGTACTTTGTCCGATGAGGGTCATGGTGGTATCCTTTACGTTATCCAGGGCACTGCCCGTCTTCCCAGCAAACCAATCGTGCTTCTTCAGAAACGTGTTGAAAAACGGACCGGCAGTTCCCAGGGCGCCAAGCGTAATCATGTCGATGAGGATCAATTGCCAGGTCTCGTCTTCTTTCGGCGGGATAGGCGCGAACTTGTTCTCCATATCATCAAGAGCTGTGCTGACAATGGTGAGAGCCTTGAACAAGGTGTCGTAGTAGCTCTTGTACATTCCATGGATTTCCGCCAACGAGTTTGAGATGAACATGGCCGCGGGGCCCGAGGTGTCACTGTCTGCACCCTTTTCGCAATCCACGATGGTGCAGCCCGCAGTGGTCATGACACCGCAGCCCGCCTGACCCCCAAAGTGGGTGGTACTCTCGACTGACGCGCTGAAATTAACACGACCGCGTTGAGAATCGGTGTCTTTCCAAATCCGGACAATGTCGTCCCATGCCGCGTCTGCGCCCATCAACCTCCACCGTTGCGAGGGGGTGTAGTCGAGGAAATCCACAACGGCCGGGGCTGTGCAGTCAAAGTCAGTCCAGTTCCCGTTCCGCGTGTGGTCCGTCTTTGGGTCCCCTCCGGAGCTGGCAAGTGCGATGAAGTTGGCCCAGCTGTACGCCGGCTTGGGGACATCGTGGTACGTTTGCAGGTCGGTGGCCCAGTCAGTGGTGCCTCCCAATCCCCACGCAGCGTACAAAGAGGTGCGCACCTTTTTGGTGGCGGCGCTCATGTAGCCGACCCACTCATCATTATCATATATGAGGACGTCGCTGTTGCTGGTTGTGTCGACATAGCTCTTGACGACTCGAGAGGAATCCTTCATGATCTCGGCGATTTCAGCATCGGCAAGGTACCCAGCTGTGCCAGTGCATTTGCCCTTTTTCGCGTTGGAATTCAAGCGGTCACCAGTGTACAAACAGTCGGGTCCCCAGCAATTTGCGTCCGCCATCTTGAAGGATCGCCCGTAGCTTGTCACACCAACAATAACCTTTTCGCCAGGAACACCTGCCTTGGTGATCATTGCCAATGACTGTCTTGTCTCTGTCAGGTTGACCTGGCTGCGCAGACAGTTGCCCTTGGCACAGCCTTCTTGGGAGTTACTGTTATGGGCGTCCCACTGCCCATGGAGATCATAGGTCATGTAGACAATGTAGTCGGTGACCTTGGCAATGTCCTTGATGGGGAACTGCTTCAAGTACCAGTAAGACGCAGGAGCGGCAATGGAGACGGATTTTCCCGGCAAAAGGTTCTTGAGAATGACAAGGAAGGCCAGGTAGTTGGGACCGTCTTCCTTTGTACCGGGATCGAAGTCAGGGAGGTCAGGCGCACCGGGGTATTCCCAGTCGATATCGACTCCATCAAGGTCATTTTCCTTGATGAAGTTGGCAATCTTTGTCGCCATCGTGAGCCTGTTCGCAGGTTTGACGCCGTTGCGGAAGATCTGGTATGTCTCAGGCATGGTTGAAAAGTCCCAGCCACCGAATGAGAGGATCCGCTTGACGCCAGAGATTCTCTTAAACTCGCCGAATTGGTAAGTGGACAGCACGTCGCCGGTCTTTACGTCCCACGAGTCAGTCAGCGTGCCGAAGCCGAAGTGGAGGTGCGTGTACTGCGAGGTATCGATCTGTGAGGCGTCTTGGAACAGGCACTGTCTGCTCAGGCAGTAGCCTTCATAGTAGGCGATCTTGACCCCGCCTGATCCAGAGCCCCTGACGACATCCATCCCGCAATTAGAGATACACCCGTAGGTGCCTGGCTTGGCAGTGCCTGGGGCGCCGGTGTTGGTATCGATGCAAAAGTCCGCGGTGATACCGCACTGGCCCCAGATGTTGCAGCATGCGTTCAACGGACAAGGGTTGAGATCGGCGATGTCTGAGCCATCCGTTGGTGGGTTTGTGCCTGGCTTCTGCGGACCGCACACTGCGTTGGGGATCTCCGCAGGGAAGGGTGGCGTACCCTCACTCAAGCACATGACCGTATCCTTGAACAGAATCTCGCAACCATTCCAGCCCCAAGTGTTCTTGTTGAACTTCTCGAGATCTTCCTTCTCGAGACTGTACTCCGCAGCAAGGCTGTCGCAGTTGTCATCGGCCTGGATCTGGTATGCCTTGCACGAGCCGTCTTCGTTGGGCTGGGGGCGGAAATCAGGAAGATCTCCACTGGAGCAGCAGACGTGCTGCTTAGGCTTCAAGTTGGAACAGAAACCCTCGCCAGGGTTGTACTTGGTGAAATCGGCACCCGAGATGCCGCATTTCACTGCCAGTTCTGGGCAGCCGGTGCCAGCGTCAACCTGTACAGTCCTACACTTGCCGTCGGCACGGGTAACGAGGTTTAGAGCCAGATTGCGAGCCAGGATAGTTGAATTGGAGGTCGTGTGGTTCCCATTCAGAAGCGGCGTGGTGAACTTGGCCGAGCCAGCGAACTTGGTGGACCCCGAGAACGACAGGCACGTTGCGTTGGCCCAAGCCTTGATGGCACTTTGGATGGGGGCGAAGGTCCCATTGCTGGTCGCCATGATACCATACACGTGCGTGCTATCGTAGCCCTCCTCGCAGAGCTGCATGGCCAGGCTTGGCGTGGAGACCTCGAGCTTGTCAAGGTTATCCTGGAACAGCTTCAGCGCAGACTCGCTGAGCCCCTGATTCAGCAGACCCTGCCCAATATACAGGCCAATCGTTGCCTGCCCAGACTGGCCATAGATGATAAACGGCCTGTCCGTCCGCCCATGCCCACCCTCGGCATACCGGCGCATCTGCTTAACAATCGACCGCAGTCCAGCAGCCGCCAGGCCGAACCCCTCATGCCACCAGCCGAGTTCAAACTCAACATCAACGAACTCGGCGGAAGCAATCCGCGCAGTGGAGGCAGGGAGACTGGCAAAATCTGGCCCATATGACGAGCAAGCCTGGATGCGGTGGGTTCCGTTCTGGTCATCGACATCGTCGAACAGAGAGAAGTCGTAGAACATGGTCTCCTTGCACTTGTGGATCTGCTTGAAGTCCGCGTACACGGACCAGTTTCCCGTGTTGGGGCCGGCGTCGCTGCAGCGCTCAGGGCAGGCCGAGGCACTGCTGCGGTAGCTCGGGCTGGCCGCTTTGCGGAAGCCCGGGTTTACAGAGGCTGCAGTTGGCCATGCGGAGAGCACGAGGGCTGCTGTCGCGCCGAGCCAGGTCAAGGCCACCATGGAAACAAAATCAAAAGAACAAAAAGTAGAAAAAAAGAATGTCTTTATTGCTAGGAAAGAAATGAGCGTATAGGTTGCGAAGCGAGTAAAGAGCGTTGGTGGAAGCGCAGATCAATCTGGGACGATTGAAATGCCCCAGAGGCGATTTATACTACATACATATGCTTGAGCCACTGGGGATCTCGGAGCCGTACTCACTCATTCCCGTCCTTCACAGCCTCAGTTCAGCTCATCTCACGCCCAATGGCTCTGTTGGAAACAATTACAAGCCAAACACATCAGAGCCTTTCATACTAGCGTATTATTCTCCTAATGCCAGTGATGGTATGTTGTACAGCAATCTCCCAACAATCCTTGGCGTAATTTCTCTCGGGCACTGACTCAGTGACAGACTACAGTAGTGTAGAAGATATCCCCCGCCGAGCCATGGTAGCATCTGATTCTGACCTTTACGAGAGGGTGGGGGTTATCTAGGTAGACTACATTGTTGTCATTGACTGGTAGTAGGTACTTTGTAACTTTACTATTCAAGCCTACTTAGGTGGACTGACTTGGCAATGGACGGAAACTCCAACACTGGAGCCTCCACAATCTATAATCCACACTAGTATACACTGTAGTTTGTTGAGTCTGTGTCTCGACTCTGAATTTGGAAATTCGGACTACTTCCGTCAGGCACGGACCTGTGCCAGGCAAACAGGGAGGATTGATATGCCTCAGCCCCTCGTGCCATCAGGCAACCATCCGGCCAGGCGGCCCAGGTTAGGTGGTTAGAGTAGTGTTCATACTAGAGCATTATGCAGGGGAAGCCCTTGTTGCAGGGGACTACCTAAGTAGCTAATTTAACTAACCTCTGGCTTCGGTTGGGGCTGGTGCGTATCACCTAGTGTACGGTAAGGGCTGGCGGCTTACGGAGTATGCCATGCCGTGGAGCCGAGTAGGGTATCATTTGCCAAGAAACTACTTCCAACTACCTGGCACTATCGAAGTAGTAACTACTGACTACTTGGGTTATCCAACAGGGATTGGTGAATCCGGATGGAGTTCTGGGCTGTGAATGTCAGGTACTGTATTGTTGAAAGATTAGTCTAGGTTATAGGGCTTTTCTGGCGGGCTGCAGGAAGGGACGCCTTTTTCCATCCAAGGGCGCACCAGGCGTGTATATTCCGTACCTGTACATGTAGCTACAGATACAGGGCTTGGCCTGCATATATGAAATGAATTCAGGCCCACTTACTCTACTCAGCTCGTCTAGACTACATAGTGGCGTGGTAGGTACCCCGACCTGGGTCCGCCTGCTTAGTTGTGTTTTATGAGCTGGGTTAGTAGGCGGGACAGAGAGAGAGAGAGAGAGAGAGCAAGGAACAAGTAGGAACCATGGTTGAGTAGGTAGATGGCTAACACATGTACTACAGGCAACTCTTCATTTATTATTGTCCGGGGAGAGCTCATGTTGCGACTACTTGCTATGCTGTCGATTATGGATGCTCTTGTAACTGCCTAGTCAAAGCGGTTGTGTTCCGGGAGGCGTGCACAAAAGGTACAGGGGCAAGTACAAGGAAAGAAAAGCAAGGCTGGACTAGATCCAACATAAGCAAAAGTATCCATCTACAAGAGCGCAAACCCAACAACTCCAAAAGCAGCTAGGAAGCAAGATACACCAAATGCAGGCAACTGCTGAGCGCCGTTCTCCTCAGCAGGACAGTCTTCAGGCGGGTTAGGGTTTATCAGACGATCGCAGAGCAGTTTCTGGTGAACGGCGGCCATACTCGCCACGGTATCTTCATCGATAGCGACGCGACAGGGGTCCGGGGTGGTGCGCGTAGCAGTCGAGTTGGCCGTAACGACGCAAGTGTCGCGGCCCGCGGCGTTGAGACCTGGGGGTGAATTCATAGTTGTGTCGGTAACATTGATCGCAATCGCGTTCCTGTCCTCGGGGCAGGTGGCGTTGGCGGTCGCTGCGACGAGATCCACTTTTTTGAGGGCGGAATCGCCAATAGTGAAGTACTGCACCCAGGAGTAGTAGTGTTCAAAGACCCCGCCGTCATGATCACTAGGCAGCAGCTTCTCATTACGATTGGCCAGCGCCTCCTCGTCGCAGCTTTGCCAGCGGAGCCGCCAGGTCAGAGACCAATGCCCCGTGGTGTTGAGCTCCTGGAAGTACCGGTATGCGAGGTAAGGGTCCGCGCTGCTGGACCAGTTCGCCCAGCGCAGATCATGGGTTCGGGTAATATCGTTGTTTCTGTCGTTGCCTTTGCGGATGTCATAGGAGATGCGCAGGTTGAGGAGTTCTGCGCTCTGTGGGTTGAAGTTCTGCACAGCAAAGACAACAGGGAATGAGTCGGCTGGTGAATATGTTTCATTGCGAGGGAAGACCAAGTCTACTTCGACTGCGTGCGCAGTTGCGACTATGGCGCCTAGTAATCCGAGCCACCTCACTTGGGGAATGTGCATGGCTAAGGGGTTCGACGGGGCAGGGATTGAATTTCACAAGTTTGATTAAGTGGAATGCCGAGGTCGAAAATGAGAAAAAAAAGGGTATCTCTTTCACGCTGAGAACGGCGAGGATCTAGCAAGCACCCAACAATTAGGTGGGCAAGGCGAACGAGAATATTTGTAATGAACGTGTGTTGGCAGAGGAAATAATATAGGGGCACTAGGCCGGTAATCTCCCAATCCCTGGCGCCGAGGTTACCCGATGGGTCATTGGGAACTGACCTTTTCTGCGACAGGGATGGGCGAAGAGAGTCATGCACCACCTACTAACAGTACTTTAGGTACCGCAGTTAGGCTGAATCCCCGCATCCCTCCAGAGTCCAGTTAGAACACTGAAACGGCGAGATTTCGCGCCAAGAATGGGTGCCAAGGTGCTAAGACGACTAAAACAAAGAACGGAGCGGGAATGGTCTCATTTTGAGTCTTTTGACTGCCAAGGCTGGGCGCTGCAGGCAGGGGTACGCTGCAGCGTTACACTAATTGAGTCATTGGCCCTGTATGGACTTTGCAAGCTTGACTCCTTGAGGTCCATTGGCCAATCCGCGCAGAATGGTTCTTGGCTTTTGTGTCTTGGCTCCGCTGGGAGCAAACCCTACGGAGTAGTAGTCAGGGCATCCAACGTTTTGAGCATTGGCAAGCATTATGAGGTCCGTGTGATTAATGCATGTTTCCACTTTAGGATATTGGGTCCACTGTCAGGCGTTCTATCTACATCCAATATACCCACTTTTCAGGCCAGTTATCTACACTGCATGAATACAGGACTAGTATTGTAACATTTAGTCGGACATTCTACAGCTTCAGCTACTGCAAAGCTAGTACGCGAGTGAAATGAACCACAAGGCGTCAGTGTGTAGGTACACTTGAGTCAGGCCAGAGGCCAGTGGAAGCCCTGGCGCCCTCAGAGAGCTATAAAAACCAGAATATCATCCCAGTAGGTTGTTGATCATTCCCTCATTCTCTCAGGGTCCTTCCTCCGTAGGCGATTATCGCTTGCTTATACACTAGCCCCTCACTGACATCCACACTTCCCCTACAGACTCCAGGTCCACTTTCTGGAGAATGCAGCTCACACACCTCGCCGCCGCCAGGCTCATCCCAGGCCTAGCATGTGCGCTCTCCCGACGCGCTGTTGAGTGCTCCTTCACCACAAATGCTGCCAAGGGTGATACCTGCCAGAGCTTTGCCAGCACTTGGGGACTGTCCGTCGACGGTCTCCAGCAGCTGAACCCCGGTATCACCTGCCCAGGTCTCGATACGAGCAAGTTGTACTGCGTGATCGGCACCGTCACTGACGATGGCCCGGGCACCACGCTCACGACGACAACGTCCACCACCACCACCACCACCACCAGGACCACTACCATCGCCTCGTCCGCTCCGACCAACTCCCCCACCATGCCGGGTATCGCAGACAATTGCGATGGCTTTTACAAGATCTCCTCTGGCGACCAGTGTGACACGATCGCCAAGGCGCACGGTATCAGCACGGCTCAGCTCAAGAGCTGGAACAGTGAGATTAATGATAGTACGATCCGGCCGGCCTTTCCATCTCCTTTTGCCAAGTCGCTGGGAAACAGAATTGTAAATGACTGACGTGCAATCTCTGCATCTAGGCTGCTCAAACCTCTGGCTGGACTACTACATCTGTGTCCACGTCCCTGGCGCTACCACCACCGCCCCCGGAGCCACCAAGCCAACCGAAGACCCAGGCTCCAGTCCATCCCCCCAACTGCCCGGCATCGTCGACAACTGCGACGGGTTCTATAAGGTCTCGTCCGGCGACACGTGCGACAGCATTACCAAAGCCCACGGTATTTCCACGACACAGTTTAAGAGCTGGAATATTGGGATCAATGATAGTACTTCTCCCCCCTTCCATTCTCCCTCCATCCTTATTCACACCATAATCTAACAACCGCCTCCCTGAATAACAGACTGCTCAAACCTCTGGCTGGACTACTATGTCTGCGTTCATGTCCCCAGCGCAACGACCACGTCGCCGGGAGCGCCCGCGCCCACCGGGAACCCCTCGGGCCCGACGCCCCAGTTGCCCGGGATTGCCCCTAACTGCAAGTCCTTCCACCTAGTCGAGAGTGGGGACAGCTGCTGGTCTATCTACACCAAGGCGGGGATTACGCTTGCGCAGCTGCGGGAGTGGAACACGGGGCTTGATGCCGCGTGCAGTAACTTGTGGTTGGGCTACTATGTCTGTGTTGGTGTATAAATCAAGTATGGAGGAGAGTGCGTATGAAGTTGGAGTTGGTCGCTGTACGCTGTACACTGTAGCAGTAGGACAGGACAGAACTCTACCATAGTCTCGTGTCCATGCTTGTATTCTGCTGCAGCTATTCATGCTTGGTAACCTCAATCGACGGCTCCCCAATTAGATATAGCTGTACGCTCGCACTTAATTTACAGGCTTAGCGCCCTAAGCCCGGCCAACATTGCATGCCTGGACTTGAACTTTGCCCCGCGTCAATGGCATGGTGTTATTCGCTCCTGCACTTATGAGTTGTGTCTACCCAGTAGAGGGTCCTAAGTCTATCCTTAAAGATACACAACGGTTTCCAATCAGGTGAGGTTCCGGGTTCCAGGTAAGCTCCACGCCATGATAGCTGTATTCCCTGATCCCTGTGTTATTTTTATACATATACTGCATCCAAGCCGCTTGTTCCAAGCAGTGGGGTTCTAGACAGAGTTCAGGGAAGTTCAACCAACACCAAATTCTAGGATGACTGATCCGGCAGTGACCAAGCCAACCACAACCCCTGTATGGCCGCTGTCTCGCAATGAATTTCAGTCATCGACCCGGATTGGGAATACTGGTGGAAGCTAACCAGTCCACACATCTCCCAGATGATGGTGGCTGCTGGCTATCCAGTCAAGGCAGAGTATAACGCACTGTTGTTTCACTATCATTTGGATCGTAAGCTTATCACCGGCGTAGAGTCCTGTGGCTTTTCCTGGCTGACCACCAAGGTGCCTTGCTCGGGTCCAGCGCGGGGAAACGATAGCCGGTTGTCGAGAAATCTTGGTCTTTTGATTTACCATTTGCAGAATCACAAGTCTCTGTTCGCTAGGTATTGAGATCCTGCCCTTGGACGAAAATTTACAGATTGTTCGCCAGGATATTTGCGTAGACTTAACACAGCTCCGCCAGCATCAACATCCTCACCGACTGTCACTTTCCAAGACCAAGAAGACTTAAACTGGCAGACCCCAAAAGTTGTTATGCAAAAGAATCGCATCCTCGCCAGAACCCTTCACATTCAGCTCTCCCTGCTCGTTTTTAAATTAGAGTTATGGTCGATTTAGGTTTTAGATGACGGTGACTAGAATTATAGTAGTAAGATATATATCGCTGCACCACTTCCTAAGCATAGGCGCACCCCTACTCCCTTATAACTTCTAGATCCGTCCGGATAGCTCACTGATCATTGCCTGAACATATAGGGAGTGGCATTGATTATTCCCCTGAGGACCACATGACAGCCAAATAAAAGGCATTAAGCCAAGCGGCCCAAGCCTAACAATATGTCCATATCCATGCCCATCTCCCTATTTTTTGAGGGTAAAGTTGCAAAACCGAACCATTAAATTGAATCCAAGCCTCACTGAACTTGCAGCGGTGAGGTGAGGTTCCTAGATTGCGGACCTGCAATAGATTAGGGGCGGGTCAGGGTCAGATCCAGGGGGCCGGCAGTTAAATCACTAGAAACTATTTTGCTTAGTAATTACTACTTTCTAGGATTCCCCTAGAAATATTAATATTACTGGATAGCCTAATGTCTAGTCTATCTAAGTATGAACTATCAATTCAAAATATGTAGTGGTTGGTGAGATATAAGGGAATAATTATTTCTATCATGAGTTGGTATGAAAGTAGTGGTGGTTTAGATATAACTCCATATATATAGCAACCTTCCAACAATCACTATAGTCTAATAATGATTTTTAACCACCGCCCATTCAACCCTATAGATATTGAATTCATATTTTAGATATGGATTAAAACGACTATAATTACCATATATATCATATAAAAATAATAATTTTATATAAGCATGCTAGATTGGCCCTAGGTATAACCGCATAGGCCCAGAGTTGCATAACTGACCCGCAAAAATCGAACCCAAACCTCACCGAACTCGCAGCGGTGTAGGTTTGGGGGTAAGCCTAGGGAACTGCTTTGGGTTTGGTTAGGCTACCTCTAACCTAATCTAGGTTAGGTGAAAACCATAGTTTTTAGTTTTTATAGTTTTTTAAGTTAGGTTTAACCAACCTGCACTGTTTTACCTAGAAATTATTAAATTCTAAATATTTTTAAATTATATCATTATTACTAGATAGCTATTAATTCAGGCTATCTAGTGATATAAATATTATTTAAAAATACCTAGTAGTTACTGAGATATAAGGGAATAATTATTTCTATTATAGGTTAGTATAGAAGTAGTATAGAGATATATATATAAGGGCACTAAGGTCTAATAACTACTATACCTTTTAAATAATTTTTAACCACCACCTATTCAACCCTATAGATATTGAATTGATATTTCTAATATAGATTAGAATAATCATAATTACTATATATTTTATATAAAAATTATAATTTTATATAAGTATACTTATTAGGGGGCCTTAGAGGGGTCCCTGAAGGGGGCCCTAGGGGAAATAGTAAGTAGAGTTGCATAACCGAACCGCTAAAATCGAATCCAACCCTCACCGAACTCGCAGCGGTGAGGGTTTGGTTCCTAGCCTAGGGAATCGCTTCAGTTTTGGTTTAGGTAGGGTGAAACCAATTCAAGTTTAGTTAAAACCATCAGATTTGATTTTTGAGGTTTTATCAGATTCAACTAACTAACCCTCACTGTTTTGGATAGAAATCACTAATTTCTAGGATATATCTAATAATTTTGATATCACTAGATAGCCCTAGATCTAGGCTATCTAAATATATAAATATTAATTCAAAATACCTAGTAGTTACTAAGATATAAGAGAATAATTATTTCTGTCACAGGTTGGTATGAAAGTAGTGATGATTTATATATATATGCACATTAACCTTTAATAATCACTATGATCTAATAATGATTTTAACTACCATCTATTCAACCCTATAGATATTGAATCGATATTTTAGATATAGATTATTATGATAATAAATACTATATATTTCATATAAAAATATTAATTTTCTATAAGTATAGTGATAGCATAGTAGATAGTATAGTAGTTAATAATTATTTAAAATTTTAAAACAGCAAAAATTCACTGAATGATAGTAGTTTAACTCACCTGAAATCAAACCAAATCTAACCATGGTTAGTTAGTAGGGGCCTAGCTAGGCCTAGCTAGGCCTAGTGGCGGATTTTACAGTTAAACTCGCACTAAATTAGAACAGATCAGGTTTGATTTCAATTTCTAAAATTTTGACTTGAAATCGCAGCAGTTTGGTTCCAACTGGGGTTGGACTCGCCCAAACTCGGACCAAATGCAACTCTAATAGTAAGGGTTAAAATAGTTAAAATTTATGGTTTAACTAACTTAACATTAAACTAAATCTAACTATAGTTAGTTAGTATAGGCCTAGCTATGCCTAGCTAGGCCTAGCTATAGTTTTTTATAGTGAAACTATAACTAACCCAGATCAGGTTTAATTTAGTTCTGAGTTCTAAAATTTAGACCTGAAACTGCAGTAGTTCAGTGCTAACTAAGGTTAAACTTGCCTGAACTTGCACCAAATGCAACTCTACATAGGCCTAAGGAGAAATTGAGTATTGCCTAGGCCTAGTGGCCTACTGCCAGCCTAGAGAGGCTAATGACTGCCTATCTAGTCCTAGTCGCGGATTTTGCGGTGAAACTCAAACCAAATTAGAACAGATCAGGTTTGGTTCTGATTTCTAGAATTTCAACTCGAAATCGTAGCGGTTCCGTTTCAACTGGGGTTGGACTCTCCCAAACTCAGACCAAATGCAGCTCTAATTGAGGGGGCATAGTCCTGATGACGTGGAAGGGTCTTTAATTTTCTGTTGGCCTACAATGTACTGACTCGCTAGGTTTGTTATTAAGTTCGTTATTCTGTAATGTACTATTAAAATTTACTAAACCCTATATCATGATATCTATAGATAAAAATCCGCATCCTACCTCCACTTTGGACGCATCCTTAACCCTAAGTCATCTAGCCGACAGGGTGGTTTCCCTAGTAGCTTACTTTAAGCAAGACCTTGGAGCGGGTGCTTATATGACACTATTTAAGTACTAATAGGAATAAGAAGAGTATAGGATAAAATATTTAGAAGATATGATGTAGAGTGCCTATTATTACTAACATGCTATAAAGTAAAGATAGGATAATAAGTAAGTAGTAATTAGGCCTTTGTTACATGGCTTAGGACATATAAATGCACTACTAGGCTGGAGAAGGCCCTCCATCGCCTGCAACTCAGACAGGCACACTGTACACACTGGGTCCTGTGTATACCATTGACCGTAGAGAGATCCCTGAGCCGTTTTTAAGGTCATCTCGTTAACTTGGTCTTCTGTGATACATGTGTCCAAAGACTACATGAGTCCAGCAGGATCCTCTAAACAAGGGCACAACTTTAAGCCATTAAAAGGACGCAATGACTTCCTCACTGTCCTCAGTCTAGCCTCAGTCCTAGGCTGTTACTAAGCTCCTTAGCACATAAGTGTTCGCAAAATAATTGTATGCACACAGCTTGTCTTCGATATCTCATCTGTTATGCTGACCCAGGCGACTGAGGAGGGCGAATAGACCTTCAACTGAGACTCGACTTTTGCGCAGGTGGGGTTGGCTTTGCTGGTTGGACGATATACCTAATATTCTATAATGTCTTAACACAGCTACTACTACTTAAGTTAAGAATAATAATAAAATAAAATAGATCTACTGCAGAACTAATAAGATTACTTAATAAATAAGGGGAAAAACCTAATAAGTATACCTTTAGGGGGTTATGTAGACATATAACCCACGGTCTCAATCATGTCTGAAGTAGCCAATCCAAGCAAGAGTGCTAGAATATACAGGGCAAAATGTGTCGACTGAAAGCCTGTATCTGGATACTGGGTTTCTTGTAGTCAGCGATTGCCGGACCGTGAAGACATAGAACCAATCTTAACCACCAAAGCTAGTTGATTAAAAAGGGGTCTGAACGATCAGTCAGGTTCAGTAGAGACAGTAGTGCATTACATGTTCCACACATCCCTGTCATGATTTCCCGCCTTCCTCAGGCTGTGACCTTGCATACCTACCCGAAAATGAGCCCCAAAATCGTCACACCCAAAACTAGACCTTCGAACGTTACAGCTGTCCGCCACTTTGTCCCTTCCATAGCGAACAGGCAGAATGTCCCGGTCCTGGTCGCAAAGGAGAGATAGAGGTAGATGAAATTGTTCTGTACGGCAGCAATGAGATCATAAGTGTTGATCGCGGCGAAGAAGGTGGCTACAGTTCTCCTTATCAGTGGAAACTATATTGTGCAGTGGTTCATTCTGGGAAGATGTGGTATGGTACCAATAAGCCGTGCGGCGACACTATTGACGTCGAACTGTTTCATGGCAGCGGCAGGCGTGATGACCTGATGGATGTGCATTGGAAGGCTGATGCCAGCAATGATGGCAAAAAGCCATCCTGTGGGTGAGGAGGGTAGAGGAAGGGCCATAGCTGCTGCCCTGTTCAAGTGAGAGTTTCGATGGCAAGTAATTGGAAATGTGTTGGGCTGGTAGTAGGTTATCTACTTATTCACTTGGCCAAAGGGATATTTGCTCCCCAATCTAGGTAATATTGATGATCCAATGCAAGGGGGCCAGAGGCATGCATGAAATACGTATCTCATTTCAGGTTACTTCCAAAAAGATGCCATGGGAGTTGGTAGTCAGAGATATTAGCTCATACAAGAAGAATACATATATGTACAACTTCGTGAGATCGACGGGCAACCCGGTACAAACAGCATCCATACGCCTCCTGGCTTTGTACGCATCCTTTTCGTTTATAATCCAAGCTGAATTAAGTTGCTAGTTGCAGGGGTTAATTTACCTAGAGGCCTGGCCAGAACGTGGTATGGCAGTAGACGAGTATTTGGGAATGCAAGGAACGCTCAACCTCGACATCCTGTTTATCCACGCGTCTTCAGGAAAACCAAAGGGTCAATGCAATCAAACCAGTAACCACACCCGGCCCTGCTGCCTTCTTCCGCCATTGACCCCCTCCCTTGAACAGCACCAGGGATCCCACGCACCTTGCGGCACATGAGACCCATAAAAGCGTCAGGTCATTGTTAAGCGCGGCAGTGAGATCGTATGCATTTATCGCCAGCAAAACAATGGCTGTTATATTGTTTGTCAGCCTCAGTTGGTCTAGTCCATGGATATGGCGGGAAGTTGGTGGCAGACATACCGATAAGCCTAGCCATCAGGGCGCTGGTCTCAAAATACTGGCTGTTGCTTCTGGGGTTGAAGAGCTCACGGACTAGCATGGGAACATCGAACAGAGCGAGAACTGTAAAGAGCCAGCCGGCTGGAGTGGAAGGCGCCGGAAAGGCCATTGCGTGTTGTTTGTGGCGTGTCTCTATTCTGAGTGACAGATTTTTTGCCAGCGGGAAAGACAAGGCTCTACCTACTGCTCGCCGCAGGCACTATTTATTTGCCATTCTGGGAGGCAACAGCTCTGTCCATTGCCCTGGGAAGGATTCAGTTGGGCCTGCATGTTGGCTGCGCTGCGCCATGGTTGCACATCGTACGCAAGGAGCCGTATTACAGATATGAGTAACGTTGACTCTCCACCTGGAAATACCATTCCGCAGATGAAATCCCGAGACACGATATCCTAGGTACACAATGCTGCTCTGTCATTTCGTAAGCTCTATGGATGTCAGGTATAATGATCACCAGAGCCATGGCATGTCCTGCAAATACAATTACCTAGCTTCGTTCGAGCCCGACGATTCCTGCTGCTTATGTTCTCCGAGGTTGCCATTTAAGCGATTTCGGTACAATGGATGTGGAAAATAATTTCACTACCGGTAGCGAGGCTTTCACAGCCTTACTGTTTGCCAAACACTAATGCTAGGATGCCACGGCATCGGAGTGGTCAATTCCCCTCCGCTTTGGTTGATGTGCTCCATCAGAGTAGAGGCAGGTAAGGATTCATTTGTAAGAGTACCTTATCTGTAACAAAACTGCGCATTACAGGGTAGCAGTGAATATGTTACCATCATTAAAATGAGTTGTTGAATGAGACTGAATGACCAGACGCATGGGAATACATAATGTCCACACGGTAAGGACGGCTGAAGTGTGTTTTTAAGGGTTTCGCGCTTTTGAGCGCGGGACTTCCACAGTAGTAGTGGATGGCTCTCGCTTTCCCATATGGTGTTGCGGATGGGCTCTTGATAACCCCTTGCTGGGAAAGGCCACAGGAGCAGGTGAAGTCCAGTGGCAGTCGTTGGATCTACATTGAATGCTCCTGGCGGTGTAGAAGTGCGTGATCTTAGATCTGATGGTTCAATGATATGCAGCTTCTGGGTTACCAGAAGTCCTTTATAGTGGAATGTGGACGGCAGCAAAGCTTGCTTGTATTTACAATAACAAAAACATTGGAAACCTCTAGGCGCAGAGGATAGCCAACACCGGAATGTGCGCCCTGTTCATTCCAGGATCCCCTATCCTCTCTCCCTTTCCCAGCAGGGGACCTACCCACCCGGCAATCACCACACCATCTCCGGTGAGGAAAGGATAAAAATAGCCTCATGTCCTGAAACGTGAGTTCACTATTGCTAGGCTAATCTCTTTCCTTCACTGATCCAACGAAGCTGTCAGCAGAATTATGCCTGGAATCGAGATCCGCAACGCCTCCGGCTGCCAGGTATACGACATCCGACGGCAGCAAGGGGGCTCAATCGACTTACAGTCCATGATCAGGGCTGGAATAGCATCGACTCCGAAGTCATTACCGTCTCTGCTGCTTTGGGATGAGGAAGGGTTGAGACGGTTTGATAAATTCGCTGACAGCGGGCTATACTACCTCCGGAACAAGGAGCTCGAAATCCTCCAGAAACGTGGCCTCGAGATCGCTGCTGTCGTCCCTACGGGTAGTGTCCTGATAGAACTTGGATGTGGGTAAGTTGAGAGTCGGTCACCTGCCGCCATGGGTTCTGTGCTCATGAATCAGTACGATGCTAATTTGTAGATTAGGAGCCTGCAGAAGACGGGACGACTCCTCCAAGCCCTAGAAAACCAAGAAAAGGCCGTTCGCTACTACGCCTTGGATGTTTCGCTCCGCGGACTGACAGAGAGCCTGAGCGAGCTGCGTAAGGAGCTAGGCGACCTACGCTCGGTCGATATAACCGGTCTCTGGGGCACATACGATGACTGTGTCAGTTGGATATCAACCCAGTCAGATCTAGAGCCTCTCAACACCGTCACCTTTTTCTGGATGGGAAACAGTGTCGGGAATATGGATCATCACTCGGAGGCCAGCGCATTACTGGCGCAATTCAAGGATGCGTGCCAAGCGTCCAGTCTACGCTGTCAATTCCTCATTGCAGCGGATGCATGCGAGGATATCCAGATGATTCAGAAAGCCTACGATACGCGCAATTCAGCCCTTCACGCGTTTATCCTGAATGGTCTGATCCATGCCAATGCTGTTCTGGGGCGCGAGGCCTTTTCCCTCGAGGACTGGTCGTGTGAGTCAGAGTTTTCCCCCGATGAGAGCCAGCTCGAGGTATACTATACCCCATGCCGGGACGTGCAGGTGGATGTCGGCGACGGTTGCATCTACCACATTAAACGAGGCGAGCGAATCCGGGCAATTTCCAGCGGCAAATGGGGGAAAAGCTTAATGGTACAGGTGGTCTCGACGGCTGGCCTGCGGATGAATCGCGTCTGGGGAGATTGCTCCGGGCTATATTGTATGCGTATCTCCTCTTGCGGGTCGTTTCTCTTCCTTTGCGCTTGCGTGAACTGACAAGTGACAGATTTTTACCACCTAAAGTCTGGCGCGGGGGAGTCAGGACGGTTGTGGGCAGGAGCAGAGTAATCTACTATGGTCAGACGAAGAGATGGCAGGTGCTCATGTATGTCAATATATATGCTTCTACGATCAAAGTCGAAGAAGCTAGCTACAGTCGTTTACTGTTTGATCCAAACTTCGCCGCTCGGTAAAGCAACAATCTGTTGGGACCCCCAAACTTCGCCCTTCGCTTAGATTGCTCGTCAACCTTACCAGCTCTGTAGCATACCATTTCTTAGGGACAGATGTACACCTGCACTGCACTAGGGTCAGCTTCCTGCTGTCACAGTACGTCGAATTGTGTCATCCTGTTACTGGAGGGACGCATGCTGTGGCAAATATGTTCTTCTTTTGGGCTTCTCTATTTTGCTCAAGGACGAACAAAAAAAAGTAACAAACGCAGCGGAAACCTAAAGGAATACAATGTCTAATGATAGGGCCGTGGGTCGTTTACGTCTGCCAGAGGTCTGTCAGGGTGCTGCGCTAGGGTTTGCATTCTGGCGGCGATTTTGTGCAGCAGCTCGGTCGCCTGTTCGAAGTCCAAAATGTGGGCAGGCGCACGTATGCAAATCTGGAGGTCATTTTCCACAAACATGGAGTATATCCAAGCCTCTGATCTCATCTGCTGATGGAAATAAGACCCTGTAAGATGGCAAGTAGCCGCGGTGTTCTTCAGTCCGCTGAGGAATATCTCCAGCTTCGTATCAATATTCTGGTGATGGAAAATCGCACCGAACCGGGTGTCAGACGCCCATGATGTACTATTCTTGATAATTTCTGCGAACTCCATGTGATCGTAGGCTGTGGTCTGGATGTGGCGGTCCTGAACATGGCGCAGAAACTCCACTGCGGTCCAGCAGGGTTGGACGCTTACTCGTATCGGCAAAAAGTTGACACATGGCCCCAACATGGTTTCAATGCCTCCCAAGGGCATGCCGCTCCGGCCGTTGACGGTCTGCCCAAAGACAATGTCACTGCGTTGTGTTAATTGCCCGAGTACCAGTGCTCCGGCTGCCTTGATGAGCGTGGCCATGGTGATCCCGTCCGGAGGATCCGATGGGGATGTGATTGTTACTTTTGCATCTACCGCCTCTGGAGGACCACATCCTTGCTTTCGGGCACCGGATTCAAATGAGCAGTCCCGGAGGTCCGTCATTGTGGAGCTAGCCAAGTATTCACGCCAGAAGTTGTAGCCGGCGGTGGGATCCTGCTGGGACCGATAACGGATGTAGTCCAAGAACTGCGAGCGAGGGGGGAGAGTAATGCCAGCGTAGGCGGCTGTCAGGTCATGGACCAGGCTTGGATAGGAAAATCCATCGTACTGGGCATGGGACAGACGGAGAACCATGGCATGCTGGTTCGCATCGTTGTTGGAGATCAGGATAAACCGTATTGCTGGACGATCTAATGGGAGAGTTGCTGACTGGCTGGAGCTCCAAAGCTTCTCTGCCACCGCAGAGACATTGCGGGCAGTGGTGACGTGGTACAATGGTGTTTCCATGCTGGGGAGAATCACTTGGAAGACCCCGTGGTCGTTCTGAGTGAAGACTGTTCGCAGAACACTGTGCTTGTTGACTACTTCTGTGCAAGCCGTTTGCATCTGGCCAGAGTCCAAGTCTCCGTCTAATATATAACAGAAATAATCGAAGCAACTGCGATCGATGAAGAATTTCTGAGTCTCGGTTGCGGGCAGGACAACTGGCGTCTCCGAGCAGGAATCCAACAACGATGTCTGTTCCCGAAGACGCGAGATGCAGACTTCCTGGACGTTGTCGGCCACCAAGCTCACCGGCCGGCGGGAGGCAACAACACCGCTGGGTAACACTGTGGCCCCCTTGGCCATGTCCGCCAGTTTTGAACTGGCGAATATGTCGGACACCATCAGGCCCAACCCCCTTACGCGCGCCATTGCGACTGCTCTCATCGCGACGATGGAGTCTCCGCCGAGGGCGAGGAAATCATCATCAGGCCCAAGTGTATCGGCGTCTAGGCAAAGTAGCTCTGCCCAGATCTGAGCCAGAAGATGTTCCGCCCTTGTCTCAAGAGCAGGTGCAACGCTTCTCCCACCTTTCTGGATGGTACTATACGCCCTGAGTTGATCCCAGGTCATCAGGGCAACCTCCTGGCGTAATCGGCGCCTATCCTTCTTGCCCGAGCTAGTCTGCGGCACTTTTCTGAGAGCAAAGAAGAGTACGGGGACCATATAGTCCGGAACGACCTTGGTCAGGCTCTGCTTGGCGGATTGGACACGTTGAAGAAATTCTATCGTGGGCTCTGCGAGGATAGGGTGATGCATGGTCTCGCGGTCAGGCCGGGCGTGTTCACCTGCCTCCAGAATGAAGGCTGTAAGAGAAGGAACGCCGTTCGACCCAGTCGGAACTACCATGTCTACTATTACATCTTCAACATCGGAAAGCACCTGGCGCAGGTGATATTCCAACTCGCCCGATTCCACCCGCTGGCCACGTACTTTGAGCTGATGGTCCTTTCGGCCCAAATGGCAAATACTGCCATCCGGATTGAACCGGGCCAAATCGCCTGTCTTATAGAGCACCGTTGGACGGCTGTTCCGTACTGGTATCTCTATATCTATCCAGGAGGGCGCGGAAACGAAAGAGAGTCTCGTTCTCTCCGAATCATGGAGGTAACCTTGTGCGAGATTCGGGGTATCGATGAGAAGCTCCCCGACAGCTCCGATAGCTAGGAGTCGGTTGTGATCTTGGGGATCTACAATCCAACATCTCCCGTCGACTGGGTATCCAACGGATATCTCCGTAAGATCTGACAAGAATATCTGGTTTGAGACGGTAAACGCTCCCGAGCACTCAGTGAGTCCATATATCTGGATCAGTCGAGCGTGGAGTCCCCAGTCGGATATGTGGCTTCCGAGAACCGGTTCCCCTCCAAGGACGATCGTTTTCAGACATACCACATCGGCCGGGGATAGGGTGTTTAAGGTCGTCGGCGATAGCACCGTCCAGTTAACGTTCATTGAGGTGATCACTTGGCCCAGGGAATTAATGCGGGCCTCATCAGACGGGATGCAGACAGTAGCGCCGCATGATAAGGCACAGAAGATCTCAATCAGAGCCATGCCGAAACCCAGGGAGGCAAATTGAAGGACGCGACTATCTGACCGAAGATATAGAGCGGTGCAATGGCTGGTGATGCCGGTAAACGCGGCCTGTCCAACGACGCAGCCCTTTGGTTCACCCATGCTCCCGGATGTGAACAGGCAGTACGCCGGCGCAGTATAACCAGAAAACCGTGAGCTCACTACTCGGCTTTCAACAGATTCATACTCCATCATCTCTGTGACTGTAATGACGGAGATGCCCGTCTTGCGCAGCGCGCTGCACTGTTCCTTATCAGCCAATGCCACACGAGCCTCAGTCTGTCGAATAATTTTCGCAAGGCGCCCTGCAGGGACACTGGGATCCACGGGGACGAAGGCGGCGCCGCACTTGTTGATCGCAAGCATAGAGACAATCGCCCAGCGGGACTTATGGAAGCTGATGGGCACAAAGTCATTCTGACCAATGCAGTGGCGTGTAAGGCGACTGGCTAGGTGCGATGCCAGACAGTCAAGCTGACGATATGTCAAGGCTCCGTCCCATGATTCTACCGCAGCCTTGTCAGGTGTTTCCAGCGCTCGTTGGTGAATAATTTCGTGCATCAAACGGTCTGTCGGCTGGCTAGATCGGCGGGAGTTCCATCGCTGTAGCTGACGAAGATCACAGTCACTGATAGACCACAGATCACCGACTGTCTGCGCCATATTATTGGAGACGGACAGTGTCAGGTGCTGCAACTGCTCCAGCATGCTTGATGCATGCATGGTCAACAACATTGACTCGCGGTAGGACAACACCACTCGCACTCCGTCCCGACTTTGGTACAGGGCCAGTAGGATATCGCATCGCTAAAACATATTAGCGATAAGATATTCAATTTATGTGTGCACAATCATTTGAAGTGCCCTTGCCTCTGACAATAGGTTTTCATGGAACAACTGGTTGTGCTTGGTCTCTACCGGCTCGTCAAGGACGATTACACCAGTATTGGGCTCCTCGACCCCCTCCGGCATGGCGGAAGACCATGATGTACACTTCAGCAAGATTTCAAAGGGTATATCCTCTTTTGGATCGATGGTCATTATCTGAGCATGCATCCGCTCGGGGTCGTGTTGCGGCGCAGTGATACTCAGCAATATCTGTATAATGGAAGATTCGATATAACGGCGAAGAATGACAGACCATAGAGTTGCCAGAACGAGATACCTTGGCTGACCGCTCTTACCACTGAGATAGTCAACCTGCCTTCCCACAGATCTGGGGGCTTCAGTGCTAGCCCATTGGGCAGCTTTTGGCCGGCTATTGTGAAGTGGGGGGAAGACACAGCTCTCCCCGACCTCAGGGGGGTTCGCTTTAGTTGGGAGAGTCTTTGTCATGGTTGTGATTGCAGGTAGTCTTTGAAAGTAGTTATTTAAGAGTATGTGGGCTTCAGTTCCTCCGGAGGGAAAATATAAATTGGCCCAATTTGGCCAGACAGGGAAGACTAGCCTGGCGTATATCACCTGATGGATGGCTCATTTTCAACAAGTCCCTTGCGCATCCAAGACCGTCTAAGACCACAGGAGGTATGAATGCACTCTTCTGTAGCAAATGCATTCTTTGGTCATATGGTCTGTAAGCATTACTCCTCCATTGCTGGGCCTTTCTTTTTCTGCGCCTGGCCCATGGAGGTGCACAAAGCGCTGCAGCAAATTTTGGATCAATGTTCGAATTGCAAGCAAGGACACATCCCTCACACATATCGGTCAGTAAACGAATATCACCCGTGGCTCTTCTGCTAGATAAGATGTCCCTTCATGGACGTCCACACCGAATTATCTTCTCTTCCATGAATGATACACTAGGAATGACCCAGAAGGCAGGATGTTATGCAAGGATGTTGACAAACGAAATGAAAAAGTGCAACGAGACGTGCATTTCTCTGCTGGATAATATACAAGTCCATAGGCCTGCTACCTGTATTTTACCGTGAGTCGGGCGCCAAGCTACGGCGGACTATTTGTACAAAAGGGACTTTTGGTTTTCTTATAATGATTACATCTCACCACACTTACCCTCCCTACAGTTGCACGCACTGCAGTAATATTTATATTAAATCCTTATATACTAAGGCTATGTAGTTATATCTGTTAAAGACTTAGGGGGTACTCCACCACTTATACTATGTATTCAAAATATATATAAGTATGGTGATAACTGATATTTAATATCCTACTACTATACCTGAATAAGAATTCAATATTACTACTCTTAATTTCAATATCCTTACTATATAAGAATTCGATATTGATACTCTTCGATTCAATATCCCTACTATATGAGAATTTGATATTGATACTATTCCATTTGATATCCCTACTATACGGTACCTAATATCTGTATACTTTCAATATTGTGTGGAGGTAGTGGCAATAGGTAATGCTGCAAACAGTAAAAAAAATCCCAAGTCCCTTTTGTACAAATAGTCCGCTGTACAACCTCCTTTAGCATATTGCAAGGAGGAAAATGTGGATTTAAATGTTGGACTGTAAGCAAGGACTCGCCCCTCACACATACGAACATACGACTACCAATCGTCCTGCTGTATGAATCTGCAGAGCCATTATACAACCTCCAGAATGGTTACCATATCACAGCCAGAATTGGCTACACAAGTAGCACATTTCCGAGACATTGTGGGAAGTTGTGTGGCACACCGCCATATGAGACCTAGCGATCTCTCTCTCGGCCTGTCAGATAATCCTGTCATTCTTACAAAGGCTGACTTTATCATCCCAGATTGTTTGCTCGCCGATCAGAAGAAACTATAGCGCACCATGACAAGAACCCAGGGCGACCGACAGGCTGATGTGGAGGAGACAGGCGTCTGTATCTTTCCGCAGCTGAGCAAGACGGAAGGTGATATCGCAGCCTACAAAGAAACAGATCCACTTGAAATCCCAGCGGCGCCCATTTCCGAAGTTCTACAGGACCAGGGTATTCGCCTGAGCTCGCTGGTTTTGGCGGCGTGGGCTGCTACTTTGAGGTGTTTTACCGAGTGTCAGAAGGCGCAGTTCTGGGTCGGACATGGAAGGGAGGCTGTCGCCGAGGCTACACTTGATGGATTGACTGATCTACTGTCCATCCCGCTCGATCCCCAGAAGCCAATGAGAACACTATGTAACGAAGCTGAATGGACGATGCTACAGCCTCGCCTACCAGGGCATGCTCCATGCAACATTGGACTGGTGTTTCAGGAAGGTGTCGAGATTCATTGCCCGACGCTACGTAGCGATGACCAGGACCTTCAGATAAGCCCTCCCGTGAGTGTCCTCCAGCGTTGAGAACTAGCATTTGAAAGCTAACTGCGTATGGCATGTAGGGTTGTGACGTTGCCTTGCACGTTGACCTGGATACAGATCGGCTGCGGCTGTCTCTACGCTTTAGAGACACCCTGCTGTCTTCCACGGCAGCAGAAAATGTGGTTAGTACCGTTAAGCAAGCTATACTCGAGGCCATCAAATCTCTGGACCACCCGGTCTCCAACCTGATGCTTTGCACCGGGTTACATCTGGGCCAATTGGAAACTTTCAGCAGACATGCTTCGGCCCTCAACACACGGCGCACATTGCCGTGGTGGCGTGCATTGAGCCAGTCGGTTATTCAGCAAGGGAAGAATTGTGATCGACTAGCAATTGATGGATGGGACGGTCGGTTCACCTTCGGGGAGCTGGAAGAGACATGTTCCCGTGTTGCAGCGCATTTGCAAACTATGGGGATAGGGCCCCGGATGATGATCCCACTGTGTTTTGAGAAGTCTGTCTGGGCAATTATTGTGGCCATCGGTATTCACATGGCTGGAGCCGCCTTCGTTCCTTTGGACCCAGCCCTCCCAGTCCACCGTTTGCACAAAATCATCGCTGCAGTGGGAAGCGAGTTTGCAGTTGTTTCGCCACTGCAGAAGCGTTTAGTTGAGGGCCTCTCAGTGACTCCCATCATAATCAACCCGATTACAGCTGCCACCTTCCCACCTGCTAATGCTCTGATAAATCCAGAAGTATCAATGGATGATCCTGCATACTGTCTCTTTACATCAGGGAGCACCGGAATCCCCAAAGGATGCATCATCAGCCAGGAAGCTCTCGCGGGGGTTAGCGACCATGCAGAGACGATTCATCTAAGTGGTCAATCTCGCGTACTCCAATTTGCCTCTTATTCATTTGGTATATCAATTATCGAGATTTATTGCACACTGGGTGCAGGAGCAACTGTTTGTGTGGTGGCGGATGCGGACTGTTCCGGCCTGAGAAGTCTCGCCCGTGCCATCAACAGGATGGAAGTGAACTGGACCTTCATGACCCCCACGATGATCGGCTCGCTACATCCAAAGGACGTCCCCTGTCTGCAAACTATAGTCACTGGAGGAGAGCCGTTGCAGAAACGTCAAGTCGTCACCTGGGCGAATGCTGTCAGACTATATCAGGGCTTTGGCTTGACGGAGTGGAGCGGAACTTGCTGCATTTCGCCACGAATTACCTCTCCCTCTTCTGTTGGTGTGATTGGACGTCCTGTTCCCAATGCACGAGTATGGCTGGTTGAGCCTACCAACCACACTCTCTTGGCTCCAGTCGGCGCGGTCGCTGAGCTGTGTATTGAAGGCCCTTGTCTGGCTCAGGGCTATCTTGGCGATGCTGAAAAGACATCAAAGGCCTTTATTTCCCATCCTGGGTGGCACCGGAATTCATTTCCCCCAGTCTCCGGTGGCAATGGCCGACTGTATAGGACGGGAGATCTGGTGCGCTATATGTGCGATGGGACTATCAAACATCTCGGGCGAAAGGACACGCAGCGCAAGGTCCGGGGACAGCGGGTTGACCTAGATGAGGTGGAATACCACCTGAAACAGTGCTTTCCACAGGCACCACGTGTGTTCGCCGATGTCATCAGTCCGTGTGGTGATGGTGGTCAGACACACGTGTTGGCAGCATTTGTGCAGAGCAACGAGTCCGTGGCAGATTCCAACGCTTCAGCCGACGGGAACGATGACTGGTTCATTCCAGTTAACGCTGTCCTTCAAACCCAGGTAAATGCAGCCTTAGAATTCCTGTTCACAAGGCTGCCACGGTACATGGTGCCTGACCTCTTTCTTTCCCTCCGTACAGTTCCCCTTACTGTCACTGGAAAAATCGACCGCCGGCGCCTCTGCACACAGGCCAACAAGCTCAGCCGCCGCCAGCTGCTCGGCAAAGACCAGATGGATCAACCGCGCCGTGCGCCTTTGACAGAAATCGAGGCGTTGTTGGCGTCGCTGGTGGCAAAAGTCCTTAATACTTCCCTAGTGGGACTGGACGATAACTTTTTTCACCTCGGTGGGGACTCAATCAAGGCCATGGCACTGGTTGGTGAGGCGGACCTCAAGCATGGTCTACGTATCACCGTCGGCGAGATCCTCACCCATCCAACAGTGGCTCAACTAGCTGCGGTTGCTCAGAGTAAATCCGTCAGTCGGGGAGCCAATCTGACAGTAGCTCCATTTTCCCAGCTGCACGAGGCCGATATTCGAGACGATGTCATACAGGCAGCTCGCGATCAGTGCCAAGTTGAGAGCTCCATGATTGAAGATATATACCCATGTACACCTCTTCAGGAGGGAATGTTTGCCTTGGGCAGAAAACAGGCTGGAGGATTTGTAGCACGCTGGGTGTTTGAGTTCCACAAAATGTCTGATGCAGATATGGAGCGGTTGAAAGGAGCTTGGATTCGGGTCTTTGAGGAAGCTCCCACTTTGAGGAGTAGGATCATACTATCCTCTTCACAACGCATGTATCAGGTCTTGCTCCGAGAAATGCCAAGGTGGCATCAGTCGGACATCTTATTGAACTCCGACCTACAGGAGGAGAGGGGCAGCCTCTTAGTTGACTTCGGCCTCCCGCTGGCCAAAATGTCTATTCATCGGCAGAGCACCACCGATTGCCTTCAACTGGTTTTGACAATGCACCATTCGGTGATCGATGGGTGGTGTTTTCGGAAGATTTTGGATCAAGTGGAAGCGGTCTATCATGGGAATGCACTACCAGCATCACCCCCATTCTCATTATTCGTAAACTACCTCCATCAGCTCCCAGACCATAAGGAGTACTGGAAGAACTATCTCTCCGGCCTAAATGCGGAGGTCTTCCCGGCAGTATTGCCAATGTCCTATAAGCCGTCCCCAACCGCAGAGGCAACAGATTGGATTGACTCGGTGAACTTTACCCCCGGGAGATTTACCCGTTCTTCTGTTTTACGGCTTGCATGGGCCATGGTCCAGTCTCAATATCAGGGTAACTATGATATTGTCTACGGGGTTACTGTGTCCGGGCGGAATGCTCCAGTCCCTGGTATACTCACAATGACCGGCCCGACAGTGGCTACTATGCCGTTGCGGATCCAATTGGATCCCGCTGCATCAATAGAGGCTACATTGGAACGCTTAGTTCAACAGACAGTGCAAAGCATTCCTCATGAGCAGACAGGGTTACAAAACATGAGAAAATGGGGTGGAGACATTGCAACCGCGTGCGATTTCCAGACGCTACTGGTCATTCAGCAAATTGATGGCAGCACTGGCTACAGCTTGCTGGGCACCGAAGCGCAAGAATCCAGTTTCGCCGCGTTTTGCACGTACACTCTCACCTTGGTCTGTAATCTCAACTCAGACCCCGTGGAATTAAAGGCCTGGTTCGATCCAAAGCTCGTACCGGAACGGCAAGTACAGCGAATGCTCCGCCAGCTGAAACATGTGGTTCAAGCCATATGTAGAGCCCCGTCGTCAACTGTCGATGATTGTATGACACCAAATGCCGGTGATATCCAGGAGATCCATTCATGGAATCAGCAAATCCCCTCCTTGTCGGACCGCAGCGTTAATGAGCTGATTTGCCAAGGCAGTGTGGAACATCCCAGCCGCCTAGCTGTCGATGCGTGGGACGTGCAATTCACCTATCAAGCCCTCAATGAGCTCTCAACTACTCTAGCACAACACCTGGTGACAATAGGCGTACGGACTGGGGATTTCATTCCAATATGCTCGGAGAAATCCGGTTGGACGATCATCTCCATGTTGGCCGTGATGAAGTCTGGCGCTGCGTTCATTCTACTCGATCCCGCCGTGCCCAAGCAGCGGCTGGTTGACAGCTGCCAGCAAGCCAAGTCCCAACTTGTCCTCACGACGACAGTCAACATGCAGCTTGCTTTGGAGCTCGCGACCAGAGTGGTAGTCGCGGACGATCAATATCTGTCCAGGAAGGATATATCGCTTCCGACAGTCCGGCCAGACTGGCCGTTGTTTGCAGTGTTCACTTCTGGTTCGACTGGAATCCCCAAGGCTGCCATGGCGGATCATCAGTCGTTCCTGGCGTACTCTTGTCCCATAGTCGAACGTGTCAGAATTGATGAGAAAGTCAGATGGCTCCAATTCTCTTCATACGCATTTGATATGAGCGTCAATGAGACCCTGTGGATACTTCTGGGTGGTGGCTGTTTATGCGTCCCATCCGAGAGCCAGCGTATGAATGACTTCGTCGACACGGTGGCCAAGTTCCGACCTACCCATGCGGTGTTAACACCTTCCCTTATGCGCTCGCTCAATCCTAAAGAGCTCCCGTCTCTACGAGCGCTCATGCTAGGTGGAGAGCCCACACAGCCTTCGGAGATCAATGCCTGGAGCCCGTACATGGAGCTGATGATCGGGTATGGTCCGGCAGAATGTGGAGTTACTCACTTACGGTACTTTAGCGACAGTCCCAACGATCCTTACAACTCGGTAGGCCACTCGACAGGGGGCGCCAGTTGGCTGGTGGCACCAGATGACCCCCAGAGGCTGGTTCCGATCGGTGCTATCGGCGAGCTTTTACTGGAAGGGCCGTTTGTTGGACCGGGATATCTCCATAACGCTGCGAAGACCGAGGAATCCTTCATTCCCGAGCCCCATTATGTGAAAAGCCTCCGGCGCTCCCCCAGCCGCGTGTACAAAACTGGTGACTTGATGCGATACAACGTCGATGGATCATTGAGCTTCGTCGGCCGTATCGACTCCCAGGTGAAGATTCGTGGCCAAAGGATCGAGCTGGCGGACGTAGAGACCCATCTCCTCACCTGTTTCCAATCCCGTGTGCAGCTTGTGGTCGAGCTGATCTCCCCCAGAGTCAGCCAGGCGGCGCCATTTCTGGCCGCCTTCATCTACACAGCCATCGAAGGAAATGAAGGACCACAGCTGGATACCCCAGAGACCATCTGCAGCTGCGGTGCCTTCTACAAACCTGAACGGCGCTTTCATGAGCGGGCTGCGGCGGCTCGTGCTCGGCTACGCGACCGGGTTCCTCGCTTCATGGTCCCGTCTATGTTCATTAATCTGGTTTATATGCCACAAACGCCTAGCGGCAAGGTGGATCGTAAATACCTCCGCAGGGCACTTTCGGAACTGCCAGACGAAGAGCTTAAGCAATTCCGGGCAGGAGTCGAGAAAAAGCGCGGCGCAGCGAACGAGCTGGAAAAGAAGATCCAGCGGTTCTGCGCGACAGCTCTGCAAATTCCACCCCAGGATATCGGTCTCGATGATAATTTCGTCCAGCTAGGCGGCGATTCCATTAGTGCCATGTATATGGTTGCCGAAGCCCGCAAGGAAGGCATCTACATGTCCGTTGCTGATGTCCTCGACAACCCGCGTCTCTCCACTTTGGCCAACCAGGCAAGGCGCCAGCACAGCTGCGGCAACATGTACAGCCCTACCAGCGCCGATATCAAGCCTTTTGCGTTGGTAGACGACGTGCTGCGAGCAGAAGCAACCCGCCTGCTGTTAGATCTCCGGATTGTAGATCGTGAAGCGCATATTGCTGATATTCTCCCGGTGACCGAAAGTCAGGACGTCTTCCTCAACCAGTGGACCCCAGTCTTCAGCTGCTACTTCTTAACGGGGTTCGTGGACGGAAGGCAGCTTCGTGATGCTTGTCAAGCGGTTGTATCGACTCACAGTATTCTTCGCACGGCCTTTATTAGAACGAGTCAAGCGCTGGTTCAGGCGGTCCTGCAGGACATCGATCTACCATTTCATCAGACCACGACGAACGAGGATTTGCTGACCTACTGCGATTCAATGTGGCAGGGTGACTCTGAGATCTCATCGACCGTGAACACTGCACCTCTGCGTTTCATTCTTGCCTCGCGGTCAGCAACAGAGCACGCTTTCATCATCCGTATCTCACACGCACAGTACGACGGTATTTCCATGCCAACCTTGATGAATGATCTGGGACAAGCCTACTCGGGAGGGAAGATTGAGTCGACTATAGCCTTCGCCACCTACATGCATCTCCGCTCGTCGCACGACCATGCGGCGACATTCGACTTCTGGCGTCAATATCTGCTCAACTCATCAGTAAAACCGCTGAAAATCTCCCCGACAGCCCCAACACTGAGCCGTGTTAACGCCTGCAGCCGTGCCCGCATCACCACAGGACAGAACATTCCAATGCCGAATCCCCCCAGAGGGATTACCGTTGCGACTCTCGTCAAGGCCGCTGCCTCCTGGCTACTCGCACGAGCTGGCGATCAAGATGATATCGTTCTTGGTCAAACGGTCACAGGACGCAGCATGCCCATTGTTGGTGTGGAAAGCATGCTCGGTCCGTGCCTGAACACCATCCCGTTCCGAGTGAGCCTCCAGCCAGGGTGGACCATCTTAGACCTCCTGCAGCACGTTCAAACGCAATGCGCTCGCACTTTTGAGTATGACTACGTGGACCTTGGTGATATTGTGCGCACCAGTACCAAGTGGTCCGAGGATAGCTACCTCCCTTGCGTGATACAGCATCAGAATGTGTCGCAGACCTCTACGCTCGCAATCAAAGATGTCGAGTGTACCTCGTCTGGCTGGGCATATTTCATTCCTCCGGCCGGAATGTGGATTTTGTCTACCCCACAGGACTCGAACTTACAAGTCATGCTGTGTGCATCTGGAGCCGTTATTTCACTAGAGACGGCAAAATCATGGGTTAACCAGCTGTGCACCATCATCTCTACATTTGCAAGCCAACCTGGGATGATGTTGGATAGTATCCACATATGATGTCTATTTTCTGACGCGGTAATCAGCCGACCTACAATAGATAGAGGTTTCCAAATGCGATCGGATTCTGATGTCTTATTGCTATCTTCCATTCATGTGATAACCTGCATTCACCGATTGCCTACGGTTTGATGCCCAGTAAGTCATGACGCAAAATCTTCCGTACCAATATATTCGCCTCGAAGTCTCGGTAAACCCACTCTCCACCACACGTCACCTACGTAGACGCCGTCAACAACAAGAGAACAAGACACAATATAATATGAATATGTACAGCTCGGGTTAAGGTTAAATCAGAATAATTCAGCCTGATTGAAAAGAATCCACCTGCAAAAATCCATGCCATGCGGGAACTTCGGTATATCCTGTCCTCGCCTGGAGATGTAAGTGGAATATCCAAAAGATACAGGCAAGAAAATGCACAAAACCCGCAGGTCATTGAATTTCCCTTAGTGTAGATGAGTTTTGCTGTTGTGGTTAGGACTTACCTCTTGGGCCAGTGATTTATGTATGACACTGAGGGATTAAATTACGGCGCGGAAACCCCGGAGGACCGACGATCCTAGCCGGAAAGGCAGCATAGCCGTCAAAACTCTAACTGACACGTTGGCATGGTTGTAGTGGGTATTCCTGTTCCAGGATGCTTTTCATCAACCTATTATGACGCAGAGCCTCGATTTCCTCTGCGGGCAATGTAATGGTCATATCCCAAGTTTCCCTCCCATCCGCATTGAATCTCTTCGGCAGTATGAGGCAAGTCCCCGGAATTGGTGCTGGCAGGATGTCTAACGTCGTGATTCGGTCTAGTGTTTGGCCGAAGTCTAGCTCGAAGGAGTCCCAATGGCGCAGACTCGAAATCATGACGTCTGTAGGAGTGATGCGGGAACTACACCAGTCAGTTGAGTGGAATACTCGAGACAGAACTCCCCCAGCGTAGTCGTTATCTACCCGAGAGATCTGGGATCGGATTCGAAGCGCAAGCTGAGTGAGAAGACGTATCTCTTCGTCAGAGATTGTAAGTGTGTCGCCGGGCCGCTTGTCACTGTCATTCAAAAACTGCAGCTCTGATGCTGAGACTTTCGCGTGCATCATGACTACTGAATTCCCAAGATAGTTTGTTGGAAGGCGCGGATCACATCTCTGGCGAGTATCAACAGCGATGCCCAGGGTAGAATGGAAGTCCGGTAACATCGGTTGCATAGTTGCTAGCCTTCCCTGATTGATGCAAACCCATACCAACGAGCTCAGGATATCACAGGATGACACGTACACTCCCTGGCTTGGGAGACTTTCCTTATGACACATTGCCAGCAGGCCAATGCAACGGGATTTCAATCCGGCGATGCGCTCAGAGGAGAAGACAAAATTATGGCTGGCCAGTGCGTGATTGGCAAGGTCACCATGTCCTGCTCCGCTGATTGTGGAATTTTTCTCATACAGGTCAGCTCCAGATGTCGAATATCGTCTTGCCAGGTTTTCTAGAAAGAGCCTGGTTTCTGCTTGGGCGCCCATGGAGGTTGGGAAAGGCTGTACTGATCGTGGGACATTTCGACAGCACACTGCGAGGAGGTTGAGAAGTGCACCAAGTCCACTACCATCCAACGCCGCATGACTTGTCATGACACAGAGGATAATGCCATCAGCAAGGACATTCAGCTGGAAGCGACTGACAGGGGCAGGTAAGGCTGAACATTTGAACTCTGGCGTAAGTTTTGCGAATGCTTCGCGACAGCCGACCTCATTTCCCTGGTCCGCCGCGGGGGTGGAGTTGGCTGGTGGTGAAGAAAGGCGAAACTCGGGGTAGCATTTCATGTAGAGAACCGAATCCAGACTGGATGTCTTGGTCGACGGGCGAACTTGCATTGCATTTGCCTTGTCGGATACATTGGAGGGAGCAACCTCACCGGCAAGGAATGGAAGAATATCTATTAATTGTGATATACCGTTTCGAAGAATTGAGACGCCGTCTTCCAGCCGCTGGGGTTGGAATGAAATCCCACAGATGCCGTAAACGAAGGGGGGAAATATGTGGTCAAAAGGGGTGAGGGTGTAGGGTCCGAAGCACACACCAGTCATGGTGTTGATTTCTAGATGGGATCAAAAATTAGCCAAAACGAGGGTCGAAATAGGTCGTTCGCTGATGGCGCTTCCCTTTATACACCACAGCAACAGAACATACACCCATGCGTTTTGAAGAGTCCATAGGTGAATGACGACAGAATCTACGATTCCCGTCCTGATTTTGGTTTGTCCCATCAGATCTCTCAGTTTTACCATGGCTTCAACAGGCCAGTTGCCGAGGTTCACGTCGCTTTATACTTTCCTTCCCCGTATTGCATTTGTCATATATAAATACTAGGTTAGATAGATTAGAAGATTCGGAGCTTCATTTCTTGCGCTTTTCGCGTATATGCGTTTACAGTACGAATACTATTAGCGGAAATGGCTGTTGACAGTAGTATATTCCTACATGTTGTCATTGTTATACATGAACATTTGTTTCTTGTCTACGCCATTACCAGCCGCCCAGCGATGTTTAGATGTGTCCGTAAACGGGCACATCTTATCCACCGAGAGAACTAATTATCTGCCTTTGAATAGAAATCTCCTGGCGTCTGCGAATTGAAATCCTGCCAAGCATGTTTGCAGCGAACATGACCCCATGCTTTTGCGGAGTTGGCCTTCCGTTGACCAGCTTCATGTCGTACTTCAGCAGCAAATGACACAAGACGATCTTGATCTCGTGGACGGCAAAGAACCGACCCGGACAGGCATAAACCCCGTAGCCAAAGCCCATGTGATCAGGACTCGTTGAAACACATTGGTGCAAGTCCTGCTGTCCCGGAATCTGCCGCAACTTCAAGAACCGATCGGGCATGAATTCCTGTGCATTAGGATAGATCGAGTCGTCCCACATGCGGTGGACGGGAACCATGAGCTGTTGGCCTTTTGCTATTCGGGTACCATCCGGAAGATGAAAGTCCTTCTTGGCCTTGCGCTGCATGCCCACTGTTCAAAGATGGTTAGAGAAACAGAACCCGAAATGGAAACGGACGCCCTACCTATGGCAGCTGGTTTTAGCCTTTGACTCTCCTTCATAACACTGTCTAGGAGCTTCAATTTGTCCAATGACCCTTTCCCCAAGCCCCCATCCTGGGATATAACTGAGATGATCTCCCCCCGGAGCTGGCGCACCAGCTGTTCCCGCCCACAGATATCATAGACCACTTGAGACAACATGTCTGTGGCGGTGTGAAGACTGACAAAAAAGAATGCCAGGTGAATAAGGGCCGGGTCATACTCCTTTCCAGCACTGAGTTCGTCAAGCCATTCGACTAAAGCGAGGAAATCAGGATCGCCCTCCGTACGCATCCCGGGGGTTTCCTTTCTTTTTTCAAGAACGAATCCCAGCAGACTGCGTGTTTCTGCCAAGGTTAAACGCAGCTTTCGGAAGATTGGCAGCGACCAATGAACTAGCGGACGCAAAGACTTGGGCCAGAAATGCAGCTGCTCAGCAGCCATACTTGCCGTTTTTGTATACTCCTTGATAATTCGCAGCCAATCCTTGTTGAGAGATAGCTGCTCTCCCCAGAATACCCTGGTAGTGACACGGGCAATGAGCTCGAGAATCGTGTCCCTTAAACCTATCTCTTGCCAATCTACATCTATTCAGTTAGCCCCAAAGCAGAGAAGTACAGAGCCAATGAAGCTACCAGGGTTATCGGTAAATAGGTCCGCCAGTGCCAACGCAGTTTCATTGGACATCGTACCCGTTAGCCTTCCTGTAGTAATACATTACCACCGTTAGTAGGATTGGTGTCTGTATAAGCAGTTGCTCTCGGGGCGCCACATACCAAGTGGAATGCCTGTCAACTTCTTTCGGATTACGCTCCTCAACAGTCTGCCATTGTACGAATCCATTTTGAAAATTTCAAGCCCGGGGATATCTGAATGCAAGTTCTCATCGATGATACCATGGCTGGTGATGCTACGGTGATTCTGGAGATCCTCGGCGTATTCCGGCGGCACTATGTATCGAGGACCATAGTCGGTCATCAAGAGAAACGTCTTTCTGGCCTAGACAAAGAGAGCAGGAAACAAACCGATTAGCCTTTCACCGGAACAGCGGTATGCGAACTCAAGACGTTACCTTGCCAAAACCGGACTCGAGCATGTCAGCTGCAGCAATTGCAAATCTCTTTTTGGCATTTGTGTAGAAAAGGTCTGTCAAGGCTTTATCATTGTGAAGAGGAAGCTCCTCATCTCGTCTGAACAAGACCAGAGCCGCTATGAAGACACCAATGGCCAGAAAGCCAAATGGGAAAAGTGCGTCCCTTGTGTACGCATTGTCCATCGTGACCCTGCCAGGCACGAAGATTCAGGTTCTGGAAAGAGTCGAGAGAGTTTTCCGAATGCCGTGGAGCAAAAGCAAAACGAGTCACGAATTCCAAATGTGGTTTACCACTTTACTTAAGTTTTCTAAATATGTATTCTGCCTCAACCTTTCCCTAGCTGATGTTGTGAAGAATGATCCCGATATGCGTGTTTGCTACGAGGAAGGTATTTATCCCTTTTCCCGATAATTTGCAAGGGTATGTAAGAATGATCAGCTGTATGTCCCCTTGCAGACAATCAGCTGTTATGGCTCTCGTCTCCGGTTTACCTCTTTCGAAACCCAATATCTTCATAAATGGAGCAGCAAAACACCATGAAGGATTCACTTGCTTACTTGTTGTCGGTTATTAATTCTAGAACCATTATATTCCAAATGGGCTGACTGCATCGCTTATCCTCCCAAAAGAAGCACCTGTGCCTTCAGAACACGGCGTCCCTCTACTTATTTTCTAATACAGAGTGAAAGAGGACACTCAGGCACCCATGCATAAAATCTGGAGAGTAATAAATAAATCGAATATAATACCCCCCTAATATAAAAATGGGTCATAATAGTTTATAGTAATAATAACCCACTCAAGGTCCCTTAAGCTAGAAATTATACTTTACCTTTTATAATTATAAACGCGATTTTTTTTTCTTTTTTTCTTTTTCTTTTTTTTTACCAAGTAATTCGCACTTAATCCACTAGTTATTAATAACCTTAACTACTAGTTAAAGCCAAATTACTTAACTATATCTGCGGCTGCAAAGAATATGATATAGTAGAAGTAGAGTTGCATTTAGTCCAAGTTCGGGCAAGTCCAAGCCCAGTTGGAACTGAACCTCATTTGACTCTTGAGTTGGAATTCTACAGTTCCATGTCAAAAGTTTCCCCCCCCCCCCCCCCCCCCCCCACCACCACAAAAACGCCCCCGCCAACTAAATTTCAAAATATATATTTCTCTTTGTATAATTATTCTTAGACAAGTGTGATTGTCCAGGGTTAATGTATATATATATATAAACCATCACTACTTCCATACCAAACCCTGATAGAAATGATTATTCCCTTATATCTCACCAACCACTAGATGCTTTGAATTGATATTTCATATTTAGATAGACTAGATACTAGGCTATATAGTGATATCAATGTTTCTAGAGAAATCCTAGAAATTAGTGATTACTAAGCAAAACAGTGAGGATTAGTTAACTAGATAAAACAAAAAAAAAACTGTAACCAATGGATTAACCAAATGGTTTTGAGTTTTGGTGTAGGGAAACAACAACCGGTGCAGTTCCCTAGGCTAGGAACTGAACCTCACTGCTGTGAGTTCAGTGAGGGTTGGATTTGATTTAGTGTTCAGTTATGCAATTCTACTTTCCCACTATAGAGAGTAATAGAAAGCATGCTATTAGTAGTTAAGGTAAGAAAATAGAAAAGCTTACATAAGTATTATTAATTATATTTAATATAATCTATATTAATCTTCTAGCTCCTTCTATTAGTGTGAGGATCTACATATCAGGGTAGATAGCCTGTTGACTAGGTAAGAATTKGTGACAATAATTAATAAAGGAGAATGGTAGAGAGTAGTAGATTATATAAGAACAAAACTAATCCTTATCTTCTTAAATATTAGATAAGGGAGATACTATTTATCTTCACTACCCTTCCTAGATGCTTACAGCAATAATTTAAAAATAGTTTAAGGTATTAAAATAGGAGGCTAAAAATAATTAGAAAGTAAGGGGTAGCTATATGTTACGACACCAACACAGCCGCATTAGCGCAAGGCGGATGTGACAGGCAGAAACCGAAGGATCGCCAATCACCAATTGATCCCAAGGGATCACTGAGCAATCCAGGAGGACACTTAATCTGGATGGGTATTCCGCAGGAAAACAGTTCAGTAGTTGCTTACTAAATGGTAATACCAAATCATTATGGAGGATAATTATCAATTACCTAAAGGACACCATTATCGGCCGCACCATCACGTGATTGCTACCCCAGGAAATGGGCAACTGCTAAATGAAGGAGTATTACCTCTACTCCTAGAACTACTCCATAGATACCTTAGGAGTAGCAGAGGAAGTCGCGAATGAGTTACAACTAAGGAACTATATAAGGACACTCATTCACACTGTATCTAGTACTCTTAGTTTTAGTTCCTTATGTTCAATATCAATTACAAATCATTCACTTAAGTACAAGTTCACTAGTCCGATTCGTCAGTTACTCTCTACTATTAAGTATACGTACTCAATAGGCCTTGCTTCTATCTCTACTGTTATTATTCTTATATTACCTTTAGATTACCCTTAACTATAGAGAAGGTCATTGTATCACTGATTAATAGGCTACCTGGTTGGTAGGCCTTAGGCGAGTATTGGATATAGTCCAGGGACTATATCACCCCATTCCTAAAGTAGTTAACTAGCAGAGAACAGCAGAGACAGATCCCAGGGTGTGATAAATTGAACACCATACAGTACAAATTGCTTTGGGAAGTTTGATCAACTCTTGACATCAAACATCATGGCAGGAAATGCGCCACAGACCCCCACCAGCTCAAATGTTGGTCGGGCAGGAACACCACAGTAATCGGCTGTAACTGCACAACCTCAGCAGACATACATAACTAAGGATGAAGTAATAGCTATGCTCAGTTAGCTCCAGGAGCACATCCATCAGT